GTTCGTATCTTTGTCTGTCATTTTGGTATTTATTATAATTTCTTTCTTCATACCTGTTATAATCTGATTTTTGGTTATAATGTGGCTTATCATTTTTATTATAGTCTTGCTTATGAGGATTTTTATCATTTTTATTATGATTATTATAACCTTTTTTAGGAAAAAGTTGTTGTAATGAAGGTAAACCTTCATTTTGTAACTTAATCCTTAAACTAATAAGGTCCTTAGGATCAAAAATTCTCATATAATTTCCCAATTCTATCGGCAAGCAATTAATTACATGATGTGTAATTCTTTCTTTTATATATTTAATATGACCATCTTGAAATGTAATGTCACTATCAATCCTTATTCTCGAAATTAATAATGATAGTGCGGATTCTACTCTATTAATGAATTCTACAGGGTTTTCGTACTTAAATAGACGCATAGACATAAGTTCATGGTCTAGTTGACATATGGTCTTTTGGTTCCTATAATTATTTTCAATAAAAATTAGTAGTTCATCTAAATTCACGAAATGTTGAGTTCGGATGTGATTTTTCGCTTCTCCCTTAATTTTTTATTTTACTTTATTTAAAAGAGCTGTGTGATTTTCTAGTGCTAAGGTATTATTAGCCTTGCAAACATAATGAAAAACATCCCTAACCTCAGATAAAAATTCGTAAACTTCCTTTAAGTCACCGTAAAAATCTTGAATATGGTCATAGTCCATAGTAGTCATTTTATAAGTAATCATTTGTGGTTGTTGTGTTACTTGTTGTATTTGTTGTTGTTTTTGTGCTTGTTGAAGATGTTTTTGTTGTGTTTGTTCAATTTCTAATTCTGAATCAGACATTTTTGGTGTATATACTGTTAATTTACTATATTTTAATTTCAATGGCATAAAAAAAAAAATTATATAAATTTCAAAGCTAAAATTGTTATAAAAAAAAAAATTTAACAAAAAAAATGTACAGATTTGTACCTCAAGTATTCTTTTAAGTCCTTCTGAAGTACCTCCAATCCAATGTAAGTTCTTGAACCTGTTTGAAGTGTTGAACACACCTTGAAGCAGCCAGTTCCAGATTCTGTTGTCCAATGACTATTTCTTCAAATCTTCTTGACCTGACACTTAGAGCTGTTACTTTAAAGTAATTTCTTCACTCTTCTTTCTTCAAGTTAACACAGGTCCCTACGTTCGGGCGCCAATTAAATCTTCGATACTCTCTCGGACTTAAAAAAAAAGTTTATTTGGCAAAAAGTATACAATGAACAAAATATATATGTTACAACAACTACACTAACTATCAACTATGAGTGACAATGTCTGACTACTTGCTAGGCGGGTAAGTGAGGGGTATTTATACAGAGTCAGAAGAAATATGCTGACTCTAGGGATTTACCATTATTTGGCTACCTTAAGTGTCTATGAGGATGAATTTTCCCTCTGTTTCTCTTTTCTTTAAATAGGTGTTTTTTGTAACTTTTTTCAGAATTTTTCTCCAGCCTTCAGGGAGGAGGGCGCGCGCCCCCCGGCTGGATCCGCTAGTCATCATCCTGCTTCACAGGCCATTTCTTCAATCGAGTTTAATGCAGAAAATTACAGCTTGGCCTATTTTAAATTAGCAAAGCGCTACAGCAATAAAAGGATCATTGCAGCCTACCATCTTAACAAAATTATGCGGTTTAAATCCTTTTCGGTTGATAATTCTACCAACTTCAGAAGCTTTCTGGATACATTTGAGGATAATTACAATGCCTTAAAAAATCTTAAACTCCACAACCTCGCTGATTTTATTTTGCTGCATCTTGGACTTAACACTGTAGACCCGAAAACAAGAAGAATGTTTGAGAATAATCTCAGCGAAGAGACAGTTCCTAATTTTGAAGAATTTTGCAAGTTTGTTAGGTCACAACTTTGTTAGAGTCGCAGAAATGTGTTCTGAGCCGTCTAAAATCACCCAGCCTAAAGTTCAGCGAAAAACATTTTTAACCAGCCATCACAATAGACCGGATAAACAGAAAATTAATTTAGAGTGCCCAGTTTGTAAATCAAGCCATAAAATTATAAATTGTCCTCAGTTTTTGGATGCAGATGTTAATGGTCGTTATGACTTGTTAAAGAAGTCTGATTCATGCTTTTCTTGTTCGGGACCTCATCGCTTACCGAATTGCCAAAGTAAGGGTTGTTGCCAAGTTTGTGGAAAAAGTAGTCGCCATACAATGTTACATAAAGCTGCAAACACTGAGCCATCAGTAACAAACAATTCTAGTGCAGTTTCGTGCCACGCTACCACCAACTCACAGGTACTTCTGGGTACAGCATTAAGTAAAATTTTTTAAGTTCAGGTCAGTGGTATTCATGCAGAATGGTGATGGATCCAGGTTCACAGATTAATTTAACTACCACTGATCTAGTGAAAAGTTGCACCTTCGTTGCTGCGTTAGTCCTCTAGTGGTAGTATTGCCCTGCATAAGTGGAAGTTTGCCTTCGTTTGCCGTGTCCCAAGAAGTACGGAATAAATTTACGTCAATAGAACTAGCAGACCCTCAATTTCATACGCCAGGAAAAGTTTATTTGCTTCTGGGTGCTGAGATGTACATTGAGGTTTTAAGTGGCCCTGTTTTATTTCTTAATAATCAACTGAAAGCTATTCATACCTCATTAGGATGGGTATTATTTGGGGACACCTTCAATACCTACTTTTTTCACGCAGACCAGCCCTTCCTCACAGCAGGAATGAAAGAGATTTTGGGAGACTGAGGAAGTCACAGTCTCGATTCCGCCGAATATTGAATATGAATTTTGCGAAGATCATTTTAAAAATACTTGATCTCCAGGATAGATTCGTTGTTTCGCTTCCGTTCCGTTCTGACCAGCCGATTGATCTTGATTCCACCAGAGATATTGCTGTACTTGGAAAAGTTGTCTAAACAGTATATATATACAGTAGTTGTTTAAAAATTCTTAGAGAGGGTAAGAAAAGAAAAAAAATAAATGAAGGGCAGGCATTCTCTTCGGATTCACTACATTCTCTAGAAAGGCTCCTGGGATCTCTCTGTCTTGACAGTTTGATACCAGACTGTTGTTATTTGTTTTGCATTATCTGCTCTCCTTCCTCTCGCCTTCTGCTCTCTCCTAACCTACCTCCTCTCTCCTTTCGTAGGATTAACGTGGTTGTCCCACATTTTCCTGCAGTCTCCCTTGCGACTTCCAGGTTGTCCCTGGGAGCGTGAGGTCACCTATCCTTGCAATGTCAGAGGATTGCCTCCTCGAGTTGCTGAGCCCTGGATGTGTAGGGGTTGTCCATCTATCATTCTTGGCGGTCTTACCTCACCTACCCTTATACTGAGACCCAATCTCTCCTAACCTACCTTCTTTCGTAGTATTAATGTTGTTGTCCCACGTTTTACAGCAGTCCCCCGTGCGTCTTCCAGGTTATCCCTGGGAGTGTGAGGTCACCTATCCTTGCAACATCTGGAGATTGCTTCCTTGGGTTGCTAAGCCCTGGATGTGTAGGGGTTGTTCTCCTATCATTCTTAGTGGTCTTACCTCACCTACCCTTATACTGAGGCCCAATCTCTACTAACCTATCTCCTTTCTCCTTTCGTAGGATTAAAGTGGTTGTCCCATGTTTTTCCTGCAGTCCCTTTTGCATCTTCCAGGTTGTCCCTGGGAGAGTGAGGTCACCTACCTTGCAACATCTGGGGATTGGCTTCTCAGGTTGCTGAGCCCTGGATGTGAGGAGTTGTCTCCCCTTATATACCTTATCCATGGGGGGCGGGGTAGCCGAATGGGCTAAAGCCTGTGCACAGCACTGCGAGTTGCCTGGCAACCGGATTATATATTTGAGAAGATTTAAAAAGTACGAGTTCGCGTCCCGGTGCTGGGGGGGATTTTATATTCCCCGCCCTCATCCTCCGGCCCGGGAAAATCCCATATAGCCTAAAAGGCGAGGTAGGGAAGAACAAAAAAAAAAAATATACCTTATCCATCTCATCATATCTAAACTTATACACCCCATCTTTATTTAGTATAAGGGTAAATAGATACACAGAGATCGGATTATTTGACTGACAGACAAAGTAAAAGTTAGAAGGACAGATTACATATTTCAATGATTACATATTTCAATGACAATAAAGTATAATAACAGAGAGAGAGAGAAATTACAATATATATACATATGTGCTTCAAGGCTTCAATCCCAAACTTAAATCCTCCCTTCCCGTAGATATGTCTGAGATCAGTACTATAACCAGGATTTGATTAGCTGTTTATGTGTTTTGTTAGAATAGCAGGAGATTACAGGAGATCAATTCTATAACGAAGAAAGCAGGATTTAATTTGCTGTTTTGTATTAGGATAGCAGGAGATCACTAACGGATCGAGAAATTAATTTTGAGGAGGGACTTCAGGCCGAAAGTTTTTGTATATTAAATTGTTGTGTTGATTGCCATTTTTGAACTTTATAGAGACATTAGCATTGTTTATCAGCATAAAAATATCTCTTTAATTATCATTTAAGATTAAGCATAAACCTTTTTATAAGTTTTTAATTCCATTTACTGTTAAAATAAATTTAATTGGATTTATGAGAGTAAAGATTTAGGATCATTATGCATGTATCTGTAATGGGTAAAAGTTCATTTGAATTAACTGAACATATTATTAAATGTATTGAGAGTAAAATTTAATATCAAGGAATATTATTTAATTCTTCAACATAAACTATACAAGAATGGCCTCCATAATTATTCCCTTCACACATTATATACCTCATTTGCCATAAATAAAAATACAATCAACTACAAAATAAAAATTGATTCATTCAAATGCAATCTACTCCTCTAATCATAAAATATGCTTGTATTTCATGACTTGAATTTTTGTATTAAGTACTTTTAAATAAGAAATCAGCAAAATAAGGTCATTCAGGTCATAACAACAGGTCTCTGGTCTATAATTATAAGGAAAAGGAATGATTTGAAGAAAATAAAAATTATTAGGTCATTTTAAAGTTTATAAACTATCAATATTATACTATGTATTTTATTGTTTTTAAAAACAATCAGACCAACAATGACATCAGTTCAATAAATAAGTAAAAACAAACAACCATATAAAATAAATAAGAGTAATGAATGACTAGTTTTTATCACAGATTCATTATTTCCAAAAGATCAGCCACTGAAGAAGTGTAATATGATGGAATTAGATGATTCATCCCTGAAGATTTGAATTTCTCCAGATCACTATATTTGTGAACTCCAGTTTCAACCAGCAATGTAGTCATACCTCTCTGATTACCAAATTGAATGTCAGTGTTACATCTACAACAAAATTTATACATGCTCAAGAAAAATAATGTTAACATCAACAGTTTAAAAAATAAATAATGCTTTGAAAAATAAATAAAACCAACTTCTGTACATTAAGTTTTAAATTATTCCTAATATTTAGTTAACAACTTATAATATGATAAATATCACCTCAGTATAAAAATAAATCTGTCAATTAGGCCAGTATAGCTTCCTCACCATTCCAGTATGGTCATAAGAAAAAAAATGCAAATAAGAAACTGAAACTGGACCAATTTTTCACTACCCCCAACTTCCAACAACTTTATGCCCAATCTGACTAAACTTTATTGAAACATATGTGTTCTGGTGCAGAACTTTGGGGTTCCCCAAAACAATATAAATATAAATAACTTTTAAAAATATTATAGCTTAGAAATCTGGAAGGCACTGATCATGTGAAAGGGATGTTCATAGTATTGTTTTATGAGTTTATAAAATTTTAGACTATTCAAAAAAGTTAATTTAAACTGGATGTTTTGTCATTTGCATATTACTGGCATGACATCTACTGCCGTTACAAAATATTTCATGTGATTTTAGTGATTGTGGGGGTTGAAACTTAGATGGCCCAATATAGATTTTGATGAATCCCTTCACCAGCTTTCGCTTAGGCATACGATTTCCCTCTCAATCTTCAGTGTTAAGGAACTTAATTCCAAATCTTTTTGAGCTGGTTATAAATGAAGGATAGAATCTAAGCATCGATAACTTTTAAATATGTATACGCCTTCATTTCCTGTATTTTGTTAACTTCATTCATATTTTTATGTATCTTCTTGAATTACTTTTGTTCTAACTGATGGAAAATGTCGGTTTATTTGGAAAGGAAGCTATACTGACCTTACTTGGCAGGCGTTTCTGTTTTAGTAGTTTTCTTAAATAACTGCCCAAAGCAGAAAAAAAAGCTATGACAGCTCTTTGGATGTAAAATATCAGAGATTAAACATTTATGTTCATGATACAACCATATTCACTGTTGTGACCCATTAATTTTTAATACTTGATCGAGATTAGTTATTAATCAGAAAAGTCAGAAAAAAAATTAACAAATTTTGCTTCTTAAATGATAATAGGTGTGACAAGAAAATAAAATTAGAAAAACCTATTCTATGTAAAAGCATAAACCAATATTTTAAACATAATTAATTTCTTAAACAATGTGACCAATACAAAACTACGAAGACCTTGTTAGATCTTAAGCTTATTTTTTAGAGATATTTTCTGTTTTGAAATCACAAATTTTTTAGTCTTTTCCTGGCATCAGATTATTCTTTCAATGTATAGCATGAATGTCTGGCTAACCATCACCTGGCACTCTTGATCTAACCAAATATTTCTTAGAGGTCTATCAGACAGTCCACATGTTCACTCCATTGCAATCTTTAATATATATATATATATGTGTGTGTGTATATATCCTTTACCTCAGACCATCTCTTGTCTGAATTATTATATTTTTATTAATGTTGTCACATTGCAGTATGTCTTTTACCCATGTTGTCACTAATTAAACATTTTTGCTCCTTCTTCATCTTTGAGAAGTACCAGTACTTATTTTTCCTTGCTTGATTTTTATTATAGAAGATATATTTGTTGATTAAGTTTCGTCATAATGAGGCGTAATAGTCTCAGTTTATGTCAGACCTCACATTCTCAACACTATTAAAAAATCTACTTGACATTAACATATGATCAATTTGGTTTGTAGTGTTGCCATTGTAGATTTGGAAAGAAGAACCAATACTCAGTGATAGGAGTGAAGGGATCATAGTTCCAGTATATAAGAGAAAGTGTGACCCGACGCAATGTTCTAGCTATAGGGGTATAACTCTACTAAGTATGGCTTACAAACTTTTCTCAATTATGATGCATAACATTTCTGCCATATGTAGAGCGAAAGCTTAGTGATCATTAGGGAAATTTTAAATGTTACAGGTCGACAAAAGGCCGGATAAGGACATTAAAAAATATCAGCAAAAAATTGAATGAATATGGTCAGACAATATGGTTGTTGTTATAGATTTTAAATCTGCTTATGGTACCATCATAAGACAAGAACTCTTCAGTGCAGGAAAAAGAGATCCCCAAGATGCTAATAGAATAGAAAATCATCTTTATTCTGAGACTAGGTCCCTTAAGAATAACAATACTGTTCATACAAATTAACAATAAATCTGGCCAAAAGACCTATTACAATAAGGAACAACTGAAATACGAGTAATAAATTAAGTTTTATAGCTCTTAAGATATATTAATGAAAACAGTAGGGTAATAGAGTTGCAATACTACAATATTGGAGCTAAAACAATAACATAATAATCACTAAATGAAATTAGAAAGGAACGCTAAATCAATTTTATAAGCAAAGCATTGTAGTGATGGAATATAAAATTTCAAAAAAATAACTGTTGATATTTAAAAAAAATAAATGGTAAAAAAAAATGATTTACATATGTTCCCTAAGATGTTTAAGTGAATACACATAGAGATTAGGAGAAGAAAAAAATAAAATAAAGTATATATATACACACATAATGAGGAGTGTGTCGGAGATAAGTAGAAAATAAAATACATTTCAAAGAAATGTAATCTCGTGAATAGGAAAATAAGAACTTAAGAAAAACAAATTTTACCTACTCATAATGCTTTGTGAATGGTGATGGAAATTTATGTTCAACACAGATTAAAAAAGATGATGTAAAAAGAAAATTGAAGCCTTATTACATAATATATATTTAGCCAGCGTCTGACTGGATTGTGAAGAGGAATTGGAATAAGATGGTTTTAAATGTGGATAAGGATGATGCATGGCGGATTTTTAATGGGATGGAATTCCAGAATGCAGTGGAACGGATAACAAAGGAATGTTTAAATGAGGTAGATCTATGGAAAGGGGTGTAAAGGTCAGAAGGCGAGATCTTGTGGAGTAATTGTTTTCAGTCTCTCCCCGAGTTCTGCCGAGAGGCCACCATACACCAAGCAGCCATAAGCAAGGTGAGGGAAGCTACTAGGAGTCTATATGTGGGAATGAGTAGGAGATGGGGGAACCAATGGAATAGTTTCAAGGTACCAATTGACCATCGGGAGATATGAGCAATATGGTGTTTCCAGGAGAGGGTTTGGTCTATGAAAATGACTACGTTTTTTACTGAGGAGGTGAAGGTGATGGGATGGTCATTTAGGTACAGGATAGGAATGTTGGTATTGGCTCTGTGAAGGGGGTTAGAACCAATGACAATGGCTTAAGTTTTTGTAGCATTTAATCTCAATCCATTTAAAAAAATACAAATTCATACCTATCACCTATCATAAGACAACGCTTTGAATCTAAGCCACTTGGAATGAGGACATTATCTATGGCAAATGGAGATGGCTTGCCCATTACCACTGCATTCCTTTCAGAGCATGTTTCTAATGCTGCAACAAATGCTCCAGCACCTTAAAAATTTCAAATTAATTATATTTATGATTATAATTTAAAGTTAATAACATTAAAATATTAACATGCACATTAAAATAGCTAAGAAAAAAAAATTAGGAATTTCAAAATATTTTCTAATAATATCAAAAATCTTATTTCCATCAGGAATCCCTATACCAGTAAAATTAAAACTACTCAAAAATAGTTTAATGTAAAAACATTTATTGGAAGAAAATTAAAAACAAATATTTTTTTCTACATTTCAAAATATTTTTGTATCATCAGAAATTTCTGATTTAAAACAATAATGAAAAATTGATCAGCAAATGAAATGAAATTTTATGTATGACCTCATTTTACTTCACTTCTACAGCCTTTATATCGTTTCCTTACAATGTATATTTTGTCAATTTACGTCTATCTGTCTATCTATACTAGCTCTACAACCTGCTTAGCGAGTCATGGCTTCCGCCAACACCATCTGCCAGGTGTCCCTACTTTGTGCTGCCACCATCCAGTCTCGAACTCCTAGCTTCCTGGCATCTTTGTCCAAGCTGTCCCTCCATCTTAACTTTGATCTTCCTACTCGTCGAGCTCCATAAAGGATTTCAACCAACACTTTCTTTGGGATTGTGCCATCTCTCATTCTGGCCACATGACCTGCCCATCTGAGACCTGCTTTTATAAAATTGACAGTATTAGTCTCATTAAAACACTGGTAGATCTCCTGATTTTTCCTCCTTCTCCACTCTCCATTCACATACACTGGACCATAAATTCTTCTTAGAATTTTTCGTTCAAATATTAGGAGGTCTTGCTTGGCTGCCTTGATTATCATCCAGGTCTCTGATGCATAACTTTACACTGGTCTGATAAGAGTCTTGTAGAAGATTACTTAGCTATGCTCAGTCACCAGGGTGCTTTTCATGTTTTGACTCATACCATAATCACAACGGTTGGCCAGCAAAATCCTCTTATTTATTTCTGTACTTATCCGGTTATCAACAGTGATCTGCGAGCCCAGGTATGTGAATTCTGATACCTGTTCAAACCCTAGTGCCATGTCCTGGGGTCTCCTGGGTTAGCAAGTTAGCTGCAGCCTCCAGGTCTAGAAATGATTGTGCAACTGCTTGCCGAGAACGCCCAATAATGTTTATATTGTAGGCAAAAGTGAGGAGTTGAACAATCCTATTGAAGATCGTGCCAGATGTTTGTATTTGGGACTCATAAAATGCTTTTTCTAGGACCAAGAGCAAAAGGAGGCATGCCAGGGTATCACCCTGTCTTACACCCCTTCTTGTAGAAAATTCCTCCGATACATTGCCCTTTATTTTAACAACACACACCACCTCGTCCTTGTTAACTTCGTCAGCCTGAGAAGCTTGGAGGAGATGTTGAAGTGACTTAATGCATCGTACAGCTTTTGATGATCCATCGTGTTGTAGGCTGATTTAAAATCAACGATAACGTGGTGAGTTTTGAGCTTACATTCCTCTTCCCTTTCCAGGATAGTCCTCAGACAGAATATCTGGTCAATCGTTGACCTTCTCCGTCAGAACCCGCACTGGTACCGCCCAATCTCTCGCTCCGCAAATGGCAATAGTCTGTGGAACAGGATGTTTGATAAAATTTTATATGCACACGGGAGCTGAGCAATACTGCGATATTTTGAGCTTTTCAATAGATTTTCCTTCTTGTGGATCAGGCATATAACTGTCTTCTTCCAGTCTGTAGGCATTATTTCCTCAGTCCATATGCTCACCAATAAGTTATAAAGGAGCTTGAAGAGTTCATCACCTCCATGCTTCAGTAGTTCTGCAGGAAGTCCATCAATTCCTGGGGCCTTATTATTTTTTAGTTTGTTGACAGCCTCGCTGACTTTGTCTTCATCAGGTGGTTCCAGATCATCTGTTCCATCCTGACCGAAGGGCAGCTCTGTACCTTGGCTACCTATGTTTTGACGATTCAAAAGCTCCTTAAAATATTTCTTCATTCTGTTAGGCAGGCTTGTTCCTCGGATAGGAGAGCTCCCTGGTCATCCATACACATTAAAGGTATTTGTTTAAATGGTCTCCTAGTGCTATTAACTTTTTGGCAGAACTTTCTGCTGTCTCCAATGGTCCTTGATTCCTCCAGGTCCTTCAACTCCTTGGTAATTCCTTCTCTCTTCTTTTCCCGATGCAGTCTCTTTTCTTCCCTCTTTTTCTTCCTAAAGTCTTCAACTGCACCGCGTGTGCAATCTGTTGTTGCAGGATCAACAGCTTGTCTTTGCTTTTGCCTGGATCCTGGGAGGGTTAACAGCAATTCTTGAAGTAACGTGGGCGATACTGAAGAAGTGGTCACAATCAATGTTAGCGCCTCTGAACACTCTGACGTCAGTGATGCTACTAACGTGCCTGTTGCTTATGAGGATGTCGTCAATCTGGTTGACTATGAGCCCATCAGGTGATGTCCAGGTACCCTTGTCGATGTTTTTGTGTGGGAGGGTTGTGTTTACAATTTTAAGGCTTCGGGAAGGAGCAAAGTTGATTAGTCGCCGGCTGTTGTTATTGCTCTCTTCATGCAAACTTTATTTACCGATGGTTGGGACATAAATTTCCTATCGACCGACTTTAGCATTAAAGCATCTGGTAATGATTTTCATATCGTGGCAAGGTAGGGAATCCAGCGTATAGTCGAGCAAGTCATAGAAATCATCCTTGTCTTCATCATTTGTTTCTTCAGTTGGGGCATGTACACTAAGCGACCAGTTGGACTCCCGAGAATCATATATAATAGTTATATGGATAGACTCAGATGAGAGGGGGTCGACCCTTGGGGAGATGAAGAGAAAGGCCCAAGATAAGGACACATACCAAAGGTGGGCTGAGATTACTCCACGTTTAAGAGCACAAAGGGGATAGAGAAAGAAGAAGGAAGTGTCTAGCTCACCGATCCAGTACATCCGGTTTAATGATAAGCAGTGTACCATTTTCTTTCTTACATGCTTGAATCCTAGGCTTAAAAGCAGCATGTCCACTATTGACCTTCTGGGAGAATTTCCTGCTTTCTTTTACATTCCAATGGGCCTCCATATCCACCAGCTCCTTACTCTCCCATGCTCTCTTCTCCTTCCTGAGGAGTTTCTAGTCCAGCCTTCTTTTATTCCTTTATTCCTCTGTGGCTCTCTTGGTGAAGTGCTTTTTTAACATGTTCATGTACAGTTCATTCTTCGCATCATTGACCAGCTTACACTCCTTGACGAACCATTTACCTCAAATCTCAAGAGCCTCCTTCTGAAGGATTTGTTCTACTGCGCTATCCAAGGCCTTTTCCAGTTGGTTCCAGATGTTCTGTACACTTTCGATCCTATCAGCTACTCTGAGCCCGTCTCTCACCATTTCTTCCATTTTCTGGTAAAATGCTTGGAAGCTTTCGGGGTCCTTCAGCTCTTGACGGTGGTAATCCTGGCTCTAATTGTTGATATTACAAGGTAATGGTCGGAGTCGACATTTGCTCCCCTGTAAGTCCTACTACTAAGGAGATTGGATTTGTGATGTAAACTGATTAAGATGTGGTCAATCTGGTTATGGGTAACGCCATCGGGTGATTTCCATGTAACCTTGTAAATCCGCAGCCCCGGGCACAGAGTACTCCCAACTACCAGATTTCTCGATGCTGCAAAATCGATGAACCTCTTGCCATTTTCATTGCTTCTCTCACGAAAATTGAATGAGCCAATCATGGGTTTATATGCATCTTCTCTTCCAATCTTTGCATTGAAATCCCCCAGTAGAACTTTGATGTCGGATTTGGAGCACCCATCAAAGGCCCATTCCAGGACATCATAGAAAGTGTCTTTATCATCATCACTTGAGGCCTCTGTCGGTGCATGACAGCTAAAGAGCATGTAATTGTAGAAGGGAGGGATCATTAATAGGATTGAATCCAATAACCTGTTTCTCATCCAACCTCTCACAACGAACACAGTGCCAAATGTGTGGTTCTTGTCGTGGCCGCTATAATTTATTGTGTGGAATTTCTTCTCCAACAGCCCATGGCCAGTCCAGCGGATCTCCTGAATAGCGATAATGTCAAGTCTGTATTTGTCAAGTTCTGAAAGGAGGACTTGAAGCACACCTGGTCTATATTAACTTAAAATGTTCCACATTCCTAATCTGAAGCCCATAAGAAGGTTTCCGTGTCTGTTACCATGTGATCTGCTGGCTATTTCTCGTTGAGGTCTCGGGATGAAGAGGTTTCAGAGAGAGGGATCAGGTGGTGGAGCTGCCTCCTCAGAGCATCCTGACAGGCTCGTAGGCGAGTTGTCAGGCTCTAGCCTACCTCATCAGTTCCAAGCTGACTGAAGAGGTGTTTTCCACCTGTGGCACGGAGGTGTTTCCTCCCTGAACAACCCTTGTTACCTTTGCTTCCTCTTTCTAGGGTGCTGGCCATCATTGGGATATTCCACCACTTACCAGAGAAAGGGTTTCTGGCTAGTTTCAACCATCAGCAGACATTTTAAGCGGAATGGAATTCCAAAATACAGTGGAACGGACAATAAAGGAGTGTTTAAATGAGTTGGGTCTGTGGAAAGAGGTGTTAAGATCAGAAGTACAAGATCTTGTAGAGAGGGAGTGAATGGAAGTCTTGAATTGGAGGAGATTGTATAGAACGGGATGGGCAATGGTTATTGATTATTTTGTATAGGAATGTGCATCGGTAATATTGTCTTCAGAAGAAGGTGAAGAGCCACCCTAACTCAGCATAGCAGTGAGAAACACAGGAACGTCTCGGTGTACCATTGACAAATCTTATGAAGCTAATAATAATTCTTTTCAGTCTATCTCCGAGTTCCGCTGAGAGACCTCCATACACCACGCAGCTGTAGTCAAGGTGAGGGAAGATGATACTATTGTAAACCTCCACTCACACCAGATTATCTGGAAAATGCGTATGGAGGGCATTACACAAACAGAACATTCAAAATATGGGCATCACAATATTGGTTCCTTCGGTGTCACAGGCACATATCATCCGCATACCAATAGGGACCTCATTATTTATATGTCTATAAAAAATTATAGAGACTATTAAAGACCCTGAGAGACAAAAAGAGATAGTTAAAGCTTATTATGAAGGGAAAACCAATCATCGTCGAGTCTCTGAAACACTTGCTGCGTTACGCCGTAGATATTACTGGCACCACATGCACTGATTGATTCACAAGGTTCTTCAAGCATGTACTGTATGCCATCGTGCGAAATATGACAGACATCCCATCACTGTCCATCCTCATCCTCTGTATATCAAAGTGTCCCATACTCCTAATACACTGTTATTGGACATTCAGGTTGATATTTATAATTGGGAAAGGTCGCACTGGCTTACCATCCTTGACAACTTCAGCAAATTAGCAATGGCATATCCGTTGCTGAATAAACCAAAAGCTGTCAGGGATGCCATTTATATATAATTATGCAGTTTTACATGGCATAAAGTCAACTAGTATTGAGTATTTTTATAGAAGCCTAGATTTTTTATAAAGGTTCATTTTTCTCACTTCACAAAAAAATATGTTTCATTTAAAATGTATGGAAATAATACAACCTGTATTTCATCAAAACTCTTATATTTTCCCACATACTCCTATTGTACATTGAACAGAAGTATAAAATTTAGAGAAATCAAATTTCAAAAATTCTACCTGGGACGATAACACCATCCGCAGCTGGGAACTTTTCATCTTTGTTTGTAGCAATAAACAAGCACTCTGGATTATTCAAATAAGAACAGGCCTTCATGAGTTTGGGATAGCTGAAGAAAAAATCATAGCCAATCACTACAGCTCCTACATCAGGAACTAACTCAATATTGCTATTCCCTAAAGAGAAACTAGAGGAATTTTTAGGCATATAATTATCAGGCTGAAACAGAATGAATTAACAATATAAATATCATATTTTAAACTAGAAAGGAGTTTTTATAAATGTTTTTGTATAAATTTGGGTAATACTACAAAATACTTGCTTCTTAAATATAACACACTAAAATTGAATCATCAGCATTAAAAACAGGTTGATGATTGCTGATAATGAATTTAAATGTTTATTAAACAAAAGATAACAAAAGAGCCTTCATTGGAGGGAAAGTATCTAATAACTCTTAGTCTGCAATACAGATCCCTTTTATTAATGGGTTGCGTTAATTCTTAGAGTAGTGATTCTCCATTTGAGTGAGTAAATTGAGATGGATAGTTTATGGAGATGGACAACTGATTGATTGAGTTCATTCACAAATAAACAGGATATTCCAAGTGAAACTGTAAAAATCTTGACAGAAAGTAAAAAAGGGCTAATATTTTGGTTATTGGAATATTAGTATCAGTTCAAATTTATTTATAGGCATTATTATGAATGCTTATCGTCGGTACCATGTAAAGTAACAAATGTGAGCCTGTTTAATGTTTCATATTCGTTACTTTAACATGGTACTTACCATATACTCCTAGCGATACCATAAGGACTAGGATGGAAAGGAGCGAAAAGCCGATAGGCCAATATATCAATATTTTATTGACTAAAATTTGTATATAGGTTGACCCCTAGTCACACTTATTTTTTGTCCACAGCCATGTTCTTCACAAGAAAGATAAAATTTAATTTAATTTAAATTGAAAATTTACTTATTTCTTGTTAAGAATTCCAAATCCATTGCTCTGTTAAACAATGGAATATATTTTGTTTGTTTTTTATTTTATCCATTACACATTATTATGAACCAAAAACTAAAGGCCCTTCTCGATGAAATTTATATTTTTGTATTCTTTAAATGTGATTTTGTTCAGTATTATAGAAAATTTATTGACATTTACGGGACACTAGTCACCTCCATCTCTAGACCAAGACACCATAGTTACAACACAACAGTATTCCCAATTCCCCATCACTTTCTTAAAAGGATCCTGTGCAGTAAAAGAGATCAAATTAAATCCTTCTATTCTCTGTTCTCAACACCACATCCTATGCGGTTAAAAAAAAAAAATATATTCAATATACACAATTTTTTTTATAATTAAAATATAAGTTTAAAAAAAAAAAACATTAATTTTCATGTGCTGGAAGTAAAAGGCAAGTTTTTAAAGTATAATCTGAATTCAGTATGCTTAAATAATAATGATTAATAATAACCCCCAAAACATTTAAAAACCAAAAAAATTGCAAGACAAAACAGACTAAAAGTCTTCTTCTTAAATAATTAACTACTTACACCAACACCAATGTTTTCAATTCCAAATGCATCTAATTCTTCTTTGACAGCTGTTCCTCCAATAACATATACTTTTTTACTAAAATTAATATTTTTCAAATATTTAGCAGTAAGCCAAGCAGTTGAAAGTATTTCATCCTGAAAAACACATCATGCTACAATATCCAACGTCAATGAACTACATATAAACACAATAATAATTGAACAGTCTGATTTAAATATAGTTATAACAAAGAGCTATATATACTGGATCAAAAAAGTTTCTATATACCTTGTGTTGAATTGTTTAAATGATTCTAATTTACTTCATTTACATATTTATAGTGTAATACTACTATAAAAATCCGATACTATTTATTATGTATAAAATTCAAGTTTAAATACCTTGAAATGACTAAATTCTTCAAATAATGTTAAAGAAATAATTAAGATATATACACAAATTATTAACCAAAACATAAATTAGAATCCATACACAATGCAGTGCTGACTAAGCAGATTGGACGAAGGACCTTACAGTGCTCAATTTAAAATAGTATAGGTTTGATTCTCACTTGGATCAATTAATATTCATTTTTGAAAAAAAGAATCACAAAAAAGCCCTCTTTACAAACTAATTCTCACTCACCCAATATAATCAGTTCTCAGACACACAATAAAATTAAATATTTCCAGTTTTTGATAAAATAATCTCTGGACAGCTAACATTTTTATAGTTCCCTTCCATATATTCTATAGATAGTTTATAGTCTGAAGTGACAAACTTGATGTTCTGGATCCTAAAATTTACGTATTCATGAAATAATTGAAACTATCAGCAGGTTCCATTACTTTAAACATAAATTTTATGAAAAGGAACATTCATTTTATCACTTATAAAGACGCATAAATTCCTATAATATAGGTCTTGGTTAAAAAAAAAAACACAAACAAAACAAAAAAAAAATAACAATTTCATAACCATTTTTCAATGAAAAATAATAAAAAGAAACAAGATCAGTCCTCAGGGATCAATGACAAAGTGTTCCTGATTTGTTTTGCTGAGTTTCAAAGGGAATAGAGATGTCAGAATCCATATAGCGAAAAAAGATTCCAGAGAGGCAAATAGCGACAAACTAAGGGGCCTAATTAACAATAGAACAAGCAATGAAAATGGAGAGAGTAATGAGGACAGTATAAAACAAGGAATAACCAGGTGGTCGGCTACCTTCCAGGACTTCCTTTAGGGTAATAATATAGAGAACGTGGAATTTAATAAAGCAGTAGGCAATTTTATAAAATTATGAAAAATGCTAATAATGAATTGCCTAGCCCAGGGCACCCTAATGTTAAATTTTATAAGTTAAAAAAGAAAAATAAGACTGATATGGCAGGCAAGGGTGCTGGAAAAGTGTCGAATTCACAGAGCGCTAACAAGGTAGATAGAAGTCGTCGGCAGGAGCAAAACCAATACGAGGTGGCTCAATATAATTATTATAACAAACAAGAGAAAAAAAGTAGTTCAAAATATAATGAAAGCCGACGCTCATAAACATTGGAGACCTACATCAGTTTCGAGGTATATCGCTATCATTTGACAACAAAGGTGAACTAAATTCCCTATTCAGTGTCTCTGGTCTCTGTCTGTTGATTGTGTCCTCATTAAGGGCCAGCCAGCAATCGTAGGAGTGGACTCCGACGTCCGATGACGTTTATATGACGATTGAATGATATTGAAAATGAAATGAGAAAAAGTTATTTATTACATATAATTATAATTTATAAATTATTTGTGTAATACTTTTTCAATGACAAGATAAAAATCGAAGTAACGTCATCAGTACCATATTGTGGCAATGCAAGAAAAATATAGGTATTTGGGTATTGACTATTACCTTGGAATTTATTTTAAGAAAAGAAAAAATGGAAGTGAAGCACTACGTTGCAAACTGCTTTTGATACTATTTGCAGTGTGACAAACAGAATCCGGGCATATCACCACAGTTCTCATAGAAACTAGTGACTTTCCGTGTTTTCTTATTTGCCTTATTACTTTCTGGAGTCTTTCTCAGTTCTATATAGCAATCTCTACACTGCCTTCACTGTTTTCTTCCCTCTGCGGAAGGCTTAATAAAAGAATGGACACGACACATCAGACATGGTGATGGTGGTCGGCGCTGATTCGGGAGTTCATCAGCGAGAACTTTGTAATTGATATGGCTTTTTTTTTTTTTCATATTAAAGATGATCCAAGAATTGATCACCGACGTTCCAAACATTACCTCAATCACCATGCATGTACACTATCCTGTTGCGGACGGATGTATCGGATACCAGGGGAAGATACCGTAGGGGAATCAGTTTTTATCGGTCCCCGGTGTCCTACAGCTTAATATCAAATATAGTGATTATTTACGTTTGTATCGTTACATCTATTACTATTACACTCCCATTTAAATATTTTTAAAAATTACCATTTAGAGACTTCATGAGATAGGCAAAATTCGAAAAGATCCCGGCAGGTAGTTCAGATGAATATCGGATCCCGGTGACCATAACCGTAGCTAACGTCTTAATAAATCATGACTAATCGCTACCTTAGTTTGGCAAGATTCTAACTAACATTTTTGGGAAGAAGAAGATTATGACTCACCTTTGTCTACTGCACATGAAGAACTATCTATTTCTGTGATTGGTTGAGAAATGGCCGAACTGCTAATTTGACAAGGTTCTAACTGCATGAATTTTTTTATTTTAGATTCTATCTGTCATTGGTAATTTATATAAGTCATTCCAATTGGTAAGAAAGAAGTCTTTTCCACTGAATGCTATGTAGAAGTTCCCATAATTTGCTCATTAATGTTATTTTAGGTGATGAAGAGTAATTTTGACGTTGATCACACAAGTATAAAATTTCAACTGTCATTCACTTCAAAAAGGAGAAAACAAATCCAAATTAAGACCCACAAGCTGGTTCCAGTATTTTATTATTAAACCAACTTCAAAAGTTAATTTACAACCATTTAAAATAATGAGAAAAAACCTGATAAGTTTTATAATAAGCAAAGTTTAAGCATTTTAAATTTTCAAACTTGTTTTTCTTGAAGTTGAAGTTAGGACAGTTAGAACCTTGTCAAACAAGCTGGTATAATGATAATCATTAAAGTATTTACATTCAAATCATTCTATTAGCATATTAATTATGTCATAATTCAATTATATTAGTTCATTTTTGTTTAATTATTCTCTTTGACTTAAATCCATCTATGAGAAAAATGAACATACTTGTATTAAAAATATGACTGGAGATCATAAGATTCTCTGCTATCATTGACAGTAGTACATAATATTATTAACTGAAAAGCTAATAATTAAAATGAGAAGGAGTTGGTCGGAAGGTGCGGTCGGTAAAAAATATATATTTTTTTTAAATTTAGTATTTATTTGACCGCACCTTCCCCCTCGACCAACTCCTTCTCATATTATATCACGTTCAACCATCTCTACATCATAATAATTAAAATATAACTTTTAAGTAAAAACAGTGATAAATTATTGTTTCCAAATCAATACTTAAACAAAATAGATACCTCTTCAGCATCAAATCCAAGGGTATTGAATTTTTCAATAAATTGTTTTCTTGTCAATGTGCTATTGTTGGTAAAATAAAATCTTCGTTTTCCCATTGAAACAAGGTTTTTCAAAACATCCTGAGCTCCAGAAACAGGTTTTCTGCCATGCCATAGTACACCTAGAATATAATTGTTGGACTTATATGTAATTAATTACACTTTTAGTTAAATAACTTTGATACTAATGAAAAATAAATAGCAGATTAAAAATAAATAGTATGCAATATCTAATACAAAATGTTTTATAAGTAAAAAATATTATTAAGAACAAAAAAATGAAAGCACTCTTAAAAGTAGTTGAAAGCTCTGGGTTTGTTATGGAAAATACTGCTCTGCTGGTACTGTTGACATCTTTTGCATCAACCTTTTCCATGATCTACTTCTAAAAACGAGAAAACAGTCAGATGGCATAGGGAGGTGACTGCCCCATCGCCCAGTCATTGTACCGTAATCAGCCACTGGTCCTCCAGGTTGGAGGAACAGTACTCTGTCACTCATACAGATACACTACTCACTGCACATTACACTCACCCACACACTAAATACTAAGGTCATTCACACTACTCACCCTAGGGCCACCTCCCCAGGTGAGCTGCCCCGGATGGAGAATATTCAGGATGCTTCGAGGCAGCAGCCCCTCCACCAGACTCGGGGGCAGAGTATCCCCCCCTTAAATAATAATTCCCTTCCCTTAAAAACAAATTATAGGAAAACTGTACAAAGATATGGCGGACTGATTTAAAAGAAAAGATATAATGCCTTCCTGGATTTGTTGGATGGATTTTCAACAGGGAACATGGAATGTTCTCTCTCTATACAGACCGGGAACATTGGAACAGCTCCTCACACAACTGGACCACTGGACATTACTGCTATCCAAGAAGTAAGATGGACAGAAAGTGGAATGTTATCTAAAAAGCATCATGTGATATATTATAATCAAAATCACACATTTAGGACCGGATTAATATTTGGTGAAAGAATATCCCAACTAATAATTGATTTTAAACCCATCAGTCATAGAATATACTATCTGTGAGTAAAAGGATAATTCTACAACATCAGTATCATTAGTGTGCATGCTCTGACCGAACCATCGCTAGAAGAAGAAAAGGACTCATTCTATCAGGAACTGGAAAGGTGTCTAGATGATTGCCCTGGGGCAGATATGAAGAATGTGATTCGTGACTGCAATCCACAAATCAGAAGAGAATATGAATTTTGGCATGCAATCGGAATGCACAGCATACACCAGGAAACGAATGATAATTGTCAGAGGCTCATCTAGGGGATGCAGCATCTAGGGGACTAGTAATAGGTAGTAATAAGTTTCTCCATATGAGGATCAACCTCGCTACCTGGCGTTCCAACGATCTTTAATCAAATAGACCACAGACCACATCCTCATATAAGTACTAGGTTTACAATGAGTCTTGATGATAGGTTTACAATGAGACTTAATGAGAGTTTTCCGTGTTGCGAATGTTGAATTAGATCATTATCTCATGATTGCACGAATACATGCAAGAATAGCAACAATGTGTAACACAATCAATAACCGGATAAATGTGCAAAAGCTGAGGGACCCACACAAAAACCAAGTTTTCATGACATCGATAGACCTAAAGCTCCAAAGCATTGAACCGGATGATGACCTTAGTCTGAGATGGAAAACATATAAAGCCGCAATTCTAGAAGTCTCCTTCGAGGTTTTAGGCTATGAGGAATATTCAAATAAGGCGTCTTGGTTTGACAACAAATCCAAGCTAGTGATGGTTGAAGAGAATTTTGCCTATTGACTGATGGTACAAAGAAAGTTTACAAGAAACTCAGTTGATCGCTACTGTCAAAAACGCAGAATAAAAAAAAGATTACACCAGGGGAAGAAAAGGAAATGGGAACGCGATCAACGAGCTAACACTATAGATAACACCGTGCAGATGGCAAACTGCTCAATCATGAGAAGAAGGTGCTAGAGCGATGGAGGGACTATTTCTATGGTCTCTTGAATGAAAATTATGAAGTCCAGACTGAGCCTATGCAAGATATCCCGAAGGGGGGTCTAGAGCCCCCAGATTTTGAGAAAAAGTTCAAGAAGCCATAGACCAGCTTAAAAACAATAAGTCACAAGGAGCAGTCAGTATCCACGGAGAGTTCCTGAAATATGGAAGACTGGAAGTTGAGCGATTTTTGGATGATTTCATTATGAATATTTGGCAAAGTGAATGAATGCCTGAAGAGTGGTACAAAACAATCATATGTCCTATACATAAGAAAGGGGACATACTAGAGTGTAGGAACTACCAAGAGATATCCCTGCTTTCCAATGGTTATAAAGTACTGTCAAGAGTGCTGTATCAGAGACTCCGTCCAATTGCAGAAAGAGAAATCAGTTTGTACCAAGCTGAGTTCATGAGAGGTAGAGGAACTGTGGATCAAATATTTACATTAAGAACAATCCTAGAGAAGGCCGGAGAGTACAATACTACACACCATCTCTTTATTGATTTCCAGCCGACAGGCCTATGACAATGTTATTAGGCCTACTTCTACGAAAATCTGCTAAATTAGGAACACCCTCAAAATGCGTGCGCTTAATAAAAATGATCATGATGAGGGTACAGTGTACTGTTATGGTGGGCAGAGGCTTCTCTAGAGATTTTGAAACTTATAAAAGCCTCAGGTAGGATGACAGCCTTGCCTTTCTGTTGTTTAATGTGGCCTTGGAATGTGCAGTCAGAGGCTCAGGTGTACAGATGGGAGAAACCATATTTAACAGATCGGCCCAGATTCTTAGTTTTTCAGATGATCTGGTTATAATGGGGAGAAGTATAATGACCATGAAGAAAGTGTTTCTCGCACTCAAAGAAGCAGCACAAAGAGTAGGCCTGACGGAATGGATCAGGAGGAAGCCCAGATAGAAATAGGAGACTGTACATTTGAGCAGGTGAATGAATTTATTTATTTAGGATCACAGATCAATGCATATAACAACATGCAGCAAGAAATAAATAGAAAGATGATGGCTGCAAATAAGTGTTATTTCGAGATCCTAAAACATCTCAAAAGTAAAACCATTTCCCGAAACATAAAAGTGGAGCTATACAAAACCTCATAACACCCTCTTAATAAATTTTATGAGGGATAAAAATAACTGTTTAATAAAATGTATAGTGTTGTATAAAGTTATTTATATTAAGTTTATATAAGTTTTACTAAGTACTACAATCCTTACACATTTATAGGTTAAATATATAGATGTATTTTCAAGTCTCTCTTTGTATATTTTAATATTTTTTGTAGGGTTCATTAATATGAAATATATTTACCAGGAGTAGAGGATTTTATTACAGTTTTTAGTATCAACATTCAACACCACATGTCCAAAACTACAAACATAATAATAATAACGGTAGATAGTCCACAAGATAAATAAGTCAGACTGGTGGTTTGAAATTATGTGGTTTAAAAAGATAATGATTTATAATAAAAACTGATAGATTCATTTAAAAAAAAGACTAAAGATTATCCTTAGAATATACCTTTCTTCAAGATTAATGATAAAAGCAATAAATAAATGTGTTATTCCTGGCTTATCTTATAGCTTCGGAATACTAAAATGGTCCACAGTGTCACTCCAAGAATTGGATAGATTAATAAGAACTGCATCTGTGGCAAGGCTTTACTTGCCAAGAAAGGAAGATAGGTGGGAGAGATCTCACAAATACTGAAGGTGCACGTCAAAGTCAAGAAAAGAAAAGAAAGAAAGAAGATAAAATAAAAAACAATGTGAGGAACCATTTCATAAGATAATCTGCAACCTTGATTTCTGACACACTGCTGTACAATTAGCCTCTTAAGAAGCTGCACCAATCATTATTACCAATAATAACCAACTGGAAGAATGAAAGTCAAAAGCATTGCATGTAAGGCTTTTTCACCAGCTTCAACTGACTGAAATAGATAAATCTTTATCTCTAATTAGTTGGTTAGTTGGAAGAAGTCTGTTCTTCGAGACTGAAGGCTTTTTGACTGAAATCCAGGACCAGGTCACAGATACATGATCCTATTGGTGACATGTCTTGAAGCAACAGAATGTATAGGACTAATACAGGCTCTGTGCAAGCACATATGAATCCATTCAGTTCATAACTGGAGGGTATGGAGCTCTTGTAGCTATAGAATCCCTAAAAAGACATGACAATGTTGCCAAAGTCTATCACCAAGCGATTGGTCTGAAAAGAAAATTATTAAACGATTCGATGTCCTACTATAAATACAAGCCTAAAGAACTCTGCCAAAAAGATGGGATCAAATTATACTGAAATCAGTCATTTATAACAGACCATCTCGTGACTCACAACAGACCCAACATTGTATTAATTGACGGTAATATTAAACTGACTGAGATTAAAGACACTGCTGTGCCAAACTACGGAAACATTAAATCAGTCTGTGGAGAAAACATTCTGTATGTTCAACTGAGTGAGTTAAAAAATTCTGTATAAAATTAATCAAGTAACTATTAGGAGCATGTTGATCTCCAGCAATGTCCTGATATCAGTGTCTCCTGTAGAAGCTACTGACAGGCTGGGCCTCCCAACTCGCTCAATCCTAATGTGCACACTAGATTTTTAAATCAAATTAAATGAAAATAAGCCATGAAAACAAAGGAATCAGACTGACCGAAATCAATTGTTCGATTTCTTATCAAATTTCAAAGGTGTTATGATAAAGAAAGATGAGAGTTTTCTATTTAAAAATAAGTAACATTAACAACATTTAAAACAAGATATTAATATTTAAATATAAAAATTGTTTACGTTTCATAGTATTAAATTTTTAGATAGTAAAAATAATATTGTATAATAAAAATTATACATAAAATAAAGATAAAATTATACTTACCATCACAATCTGAAATAAAAGAATCAAATGATTCCAAAAATTTCTTTTTTTCTATATCGCTCAAAGACATTAAATTAGTTGAAGCCATTTTGTAATATAAACACGTAGTCCCTAAAATAAGTTGGAAAAATTATTACATTAATTTCTCAATCATTAATATTTTATGATTTAGTGCAATTAGATTTAGAATGACTATATACTACTAATATTAATTTCAAACAGTTCTTCATGTTATATTTATTTGGAAATGTTTTAGTATTATTCTTAGATAACTGGTGGTATTTAACTTCCATGAAATGATTAATATTTTTTAATAACATTAATTTTTTTAACTTTGGCTTTCTTAAATATGAAATATTTAGTAAGGGAAAGTATAGTGATTCTGAAAAAAATTTGAATATCAGTTTTCAATGGGAATACATGTTTTGAGATCCTTTGAGACCAAATAAACAAGTTTCACAAAATGGTGTGTGTCATAATATTAATAGTAAATTATGACATTGTGAAAGTGTATGCCTGAAATGGGGTTGGGACACCAAAATTTCAAAAAATGAATAACATTTTTTTTTCTGTGGTATTACGGACCTTGTAGATCTTTGGCCGCCTAAACAAGCCTACTCCATCTCTGCCCATCTTGGGCTATTTCTTTCCAGTTATATATATGCAACTCTACTGCATCTTTGTTGATTCTATCTATCCATCTGTTTTTAAATATAAATAAATATTAATTATTCAAAGGAAGATGGATATCATCAATCATCTAAGAAGCATGAATTATCTTCAAATCTGGGCAAATTTCAAATAGTATTAATCAAAACCAATGCCACTCTTAGCCATTTTGCATCCATAAGCAATATCACCATCTTCCTCAAAAAATTAATTTATTTCTTAAGCTGTATTATATTTTATATTCCATTTCATTCATTATGTATCTAATTCAGTTGCTTTATTAATATGGTAAAATAATCATTCTCATTTTTTTTAATTCTTCAAAAAGGGGAGACACCTCCAGGCTGGCGCTCTTGGGTGAATGTCAGTTGCTCAGCCATAAAGCTAGCAATGATCAGAACTATAACCAATAACATTGCTAACATCACATAAACCACAGGTGTGGAATGTGCGGCTTCCATAAGTTTCTTGTGAAACCTTAATAAAAGTTAGCTCTCATATTTATTATAATTCAGTAGATAGACAACAAAATCTGAATATCAAAACAATGTTTTTATTTATTTATTAATTTTCAATCCCGCTCTGATTCTCAGGCAATACGGGTAATTGCTGCAGTGGGATGATACTATTCAAAAATATATAAAGACAATACCAAACAAATATAAATGCCAAAAATTATATTGATCAAATTTTTACTGTCAATGTAAATATGACTTCTAATATATATATATATATATATATATATATATATATATATATATATATATATATATGTTATTATTTAATATTTTTTTTTAAATCATTGAAAATATATATGATTAAAACAATTGAACATTAATTTTTTAATCTAATTTTCTATCCTTTTAATCAATTTGTTTAATCTAATTTTCTATCTAAAATCATCCTTTTAAGTTTATGAAAATTTAATATAACATCCAGCAGATAAATAATTTAAAAAAACAATATTGAAAATATTGTTGGAACATACTTTAATTTATTGTAATGAATTCAAAATAAAATCATTTTTTTTCTTATTCTTTTAAATAGTTCTTATGGATAGTAACTACACAGAATGAGTTTGAATGTTTTAATGAGATTTAATAATCATTGATTTTGATGATGCTCACATATTCTGAAATAGGATCAGTCACAATGGTTTGTAAGACAATAGTTCCTTTCGTAAGTCTTAACAATATTCATTTCTTAAATGTAAAATATTATATGATAATAATGTACTTTACAGAACGGATAGTGGAATACAGTTAAGACACCCAGAACAACTTGGAGCATCTAGGGCTATAATTTTTCACGAATATGCCTATAAATAGTTCATTTATCAAATTCACAATAAGGAATTCAACTTAAAAAAAAAAAAAAAAAAAAAAGAGACCCTTGGGATTAAAAATGGTTTCAATATTATCTTCCACATTCATATAGAGTAGTATTGCTAAAACAAAACCTATAACTCTAAGCTCTGTAGTGTAAACAACTAAAAGGAAACTTAAAGGCTGCTGTTAAGCAAATGTTCCCAAAATTTATGAATCAAAGAAATTTTTGCCAAGACAAACTTCTATATCATGGCATTATTATTATTTATTTTATGCCCTAATTTCATTCTTATCACTTTTTTTGCCACTCGAATGACCAACATAACAAATATAGTAATCAATTCAAACAATAAACTCCTCCACTTATAAAAACAGTAAATATATCATAAGGAAATCTGTAAGGCCACAAACCTTAACTCAGTACAATACTACCAGTAGTAACTACTACAAGCACTTCTTAAATAATGAATGGTTTCAAGAGATAAAATAAGGAGCTGACCTTGGTTATGCAGTTTTTCCAACTTAGGACAACCCCAGATAGTTAATATCAGTAGGTAATTTATTTTTAAGTACCTACTTGGGTAAGGAATTATTCAAGTATAAATCTATTTGAAGGATTTTCACATCTTTGTCATAGTAAAGCTAAGATGACTAAAGGTCCCTGCTTTATAAATTTACAGAATAAACTGTCAATACTGTCTGACTGACACCTCAGAGCAAAACCCATGCGTGAATAGCTCGTGATAAATGAAGACAACATAAAAAAGCATATCAATAAACGTTATCAATTCGTCCAAGGTTGACATATATTGAACTGTCGGATTGTGTGTATCAGACAGGGATGGGTCTAGGAATAGTGATGGGGCCATATAGGCGGAGCTGTGATTCTGTCACTGTGACTGAGCCGGTGCTGGTGATCTCAGTGACAGGCGCACCGAAATCACAGTGACAGTCACTGTTGGCGCTGTGAAATCACTGTACTCTAACAGTGACGATCACTGTGCTCCAACAGTGACGATCATTGTTGGCGCTGTGAAATCACAGCTCTGATCACTTCTTTTTCGTTCCAGCGATCTGGGCATTGTTGACTTCATTTGTTTAAAAAAACGAATTAAAGGAATAATCATGAAATAATGATTCCTAAAATAATAGTTATTCGTCAAATTTTATTAAAAATACTTTTTGAACTTTGGATGAATTGAACATTCATTGTCATATATTTCTGAATGAGTTCTGTCTGAAATATAAATAAAAAATTAAATAAATTCAAAAATTCTCTGCAGGGCTGTATACAGAAACCAAGGGACCCCAGAGATATTTTTTCCCGTTAAATGTAAAATTTATCACAGAATTTTTTTTTTTTTTTATATAAGTTTAAACAAGTTAACTATAATTTCACAGTGACCAAGAAGTCATTGTATACTTTTCTTTTTTTGTTTGTTTTTTTGGGTTTAAGACTTGTATAAGCAAGTCCTATTTTGCCAGCATTGTATACTTATCACTGGTAAAAAAAATTACTGTAGTGACAAATCACTGTGATTTATCGCAGTGATTTTCCCGGAGCTGTGACAGAAAATTTCTGTCACACCCCATCACTATCTAGGGATGTGATGGTACTGGTGGAGCAGTGACGTGTAACAGAGTCTCGGTTTGGAACAGCGACAACCTGTTCCACTCCCTTGGACCTTATCGGTCCAGTGACAATGGCGAAAGTCTTCTTATCCCTTTCCTTATTTAATGTATGAATATATTAATGTGTTAATATATTATATTTATTAACCAACAGTCCTCTTTTCCTTTAATTAATCAATAAGTAGTAGGTTTATCGCAAAAAAGATATTTCATTACTTTTAATATTAATCCCTTTATGGAATCAGAAAATTGTGAAGGTGCAAGGGAGTGGAACAGGTTTTCGCTGTTTCAAACCGAGACTCTGTTACACGTCACTGCTCCACCAGTACCATCGCATCCCTACTGCTTAATCCCGCCAATTTCAGATGAGAAGGTAGCAATTTTGGTAACATAATTTGTTAGTGTCTGAAGGTAAATAAGTACTATGAATAACAAACGAAGAGGCAATCCCAGTTATGGTGTTAAAGGGAAAATAGCTAGGCAAGTAGTTTAAGTTAAGTTTATTTTAGGTGAAGGGAACATTGGTTATATAAATTATCATATCTAAATAAGCTTTACCATAGATTATTTACTATGTTATGGCTATATACATGCCATTTTCAGATACATTTAATAGAACTCAAAAACTCCCAAATTATTTCAATTTAGACCCTTAGGATGCCATATACAAAGCTGATAAGAGTAAGTTAAAAGTATAATTTATGGTGTAACATATTCAGCCTTATGAATTTGATTAGAATATTTCAAGTTTCTTCGTAAATATATGTAAATCACTTACTGATGCTGGCCACTAAAGTTTCACCAAATAATCTTGGTTGGTTTTTCAATAACCTGAAACAGTTAGTTTATCCTTACTTCTTAAGTATCAATTAATTAAAGGGTCAAGTGGACAAAGGTGATAAGCAATCATGGGAAAAATTGTATTGCTAAGAATAAAGTTGTAAAGTGATATATTTTATACTTCTTCCTTTCATTTACATAAATTCAGTGTTAGTTTCATAACTGAGTTCAAAGAGGTACCCATTGATGATACACCTCTGCCTTTTATTGTAGGTGTAAATTAATAAATTAAAGGTATTCTGAATTCAGTTTTCTCAGGACTCAAATCATCTACATTGGTGTATACATGTATATATTTCTCATTTCTTTATTATTGCTTTATGTCAAAGAACATTAAATCTCAATGTCTAAATTAAGTAAACAAATAAGGATCTTAATTTTCATTAGCAAAGCACCTAGTTTATTTTTTTTTTCAAATAAAAATTTTAAGAGATGAGTACTTTATAAATGATCTTGGATTGACTCTAGTCTCTATTAATCCCAAAGGGAAGAAATTTCCTAACAAATTATTTTACTTATTGTAATCAGGGGTGGTGAAATGGTCCACAATTTGACTAGAATGGCCTAGTTAAAATATTTTTGTGTTTTACTGTTTGTTATCAACCGATTTTATATTGTATTATATTAAAAACACAATTAATCCCAAGCATTCTATGGAATGGTTATACAATTGAACTAATCTTTTACATTCATTGCTTTTATTTATAATAAGCATATAAAGAATCTTATATTTTCTATAATCAAGGAAAAGAATAGTTTCCAAGAACCACTTTGTTTAAGAAGCATTTAACTTCACCTGGAGTGGAACATACCATAAAAATGATTTCATGTTATGTTACAGAAATGATGAAGAAGCAGCTTCTACATTTGAAAGTACATTAGCTTCTTTACCTGATAATGATGAGGACTATCCTGACCGTGATGTGTTAGAATGTTTAGGAGAGGTAAATTTGGTTCTTGTTCACTAATGTCATGTTTGCTTGACAGGTGGGTCAAAATCACATTGAAGACACTGTAGATGAAAATTAAAAATTACCAGAATGTTGACAACTTGCTCCTCTCACACAAGCAATACTTCAACTCTCATTGGATCCTTTTTCAATCAAAGTCAGGCCATACCAAGTTGGTGTCTTTGTTGGTAGATTGGAGATAGATCCTTTTCAAATTATAATCAATTATTTTCCATTACTATTTCTGAGGAAAATCTGGACATATGCCAGCTCTGTAGTTTTGAACACTGTTAGCTACTTATGAGAACTGTATATGGTGTGATCGATGACCTACCTGTCTACCATGAAGTATAAATTTCTTTATAGTCATAAATTGTTCCAACATAGAAAAATTTTAATTTCTTAGAGTTCATTACTACTTTGTTATTCTTCTCTATTTATATTTGTCTAATTTTTCAAGTTTTTTTTTTTTTGTCACTTGAATTTTTGTTAGTTTTTATAGCTTGATTTATTTCAATCTATATTTAGCAAATTACCTTTATTAGATCTGTAACCTTTATATTATTAAAACTTACTTAGCTTAGGCATATGTCGACTTCAACTTGCTTTGCTTGCCCAAAAGATAGTTCAAGTGCCCAAAAGATTATGTGGTTGCAACCTTGTCATGAAGAAATTCTTGGTGGTCATTGTTGAAATTATGTCACATCTTTATTGACTGGTTATAAATAAATTGTAATATATAATTGCATAACTACTTATTTCACTTAGGATTATTAAAAAATAAATAAATAAAAAGAATAGAGAATATTCGTATTATTAAGATTGTCCAAAAATGTATTATTTAATTATTACATTTTTTCCTTTTAGTTTGTTAGATTAAAAAAATAAATAAAAAAGAGCTCAAGTTACATTTAATGAAGAGATATTATCATGAAATTACTATAGATCAAAATATTGCTTCTGGTTTATGTGAGATTTTCAAATCTATTTATAAGCCTAAATATGCATCATATGTGATTACTAGGGAAATGTTAAAAAATTTATTATTTTAAATATTGATTACTTACCAATATTGCCCATAATTTAATATGAAATATTCACTGCTATTTAGGAATTAAAATACAAAAATTTTTCTGGTCCTGATAGAATTCGACCATTTATAATTAGGACATTTGTTATCTACTTTTTTAGTTTTAAAATATCTAATAAATTAATTTTAGAATAAATGAGACAGAACAACAGATTATTTTTTCTAGTTTGTAAGGCCAATTTGGTCTCTTCCTCATCAGTCAACAAAATTTTGAATTTTACATAATAACAAAATACAAATTAAATTGTTCTAAGACTCTAAGCACTCTAAGAGCTACAACTGGAAATATAATTTAATTCATTTTAAATAAGTCTCTGAGCTGATGTCTTGTTTTTATTTGTTTCCTTTTTAAATTATTATTTTATCTTTTCATTTTTACCGTAGTTTATTATTATTTTTATTGTATTTTACAATAAATGTGTATTTTCTAATATATATAATCTAAAATGAATGACCACTTGGCATTGAGCAAAATGCCTGTTGGTTGATTACATATTTAAATTAATAAATAAATATTATTACTTTAAAATATATCTGTTGATTTAAAATTGTCACATTTATGTAACCAACATCTTGTGCTTTTAACTTATTGATATTGTTAACCATGTATTAGCCGCATGTCTATGCAATCAAATGTTGCCAGGAGCCTCTCTCGGCTGTAGCATCACACATATGTTGTGTAAACAGCCACTATAGTGCTAAGGTTAATGGACATTACTCCAAATGAAAAGAGAAAGGGAAAACCTTTTAAACTTGTTTGCTGTCATTTTCATGGATTTATTTTAATTGTTTAAGTCAAGCAAAAACTTGAGATTTACCATCTGAAATGTATGCTAATTTGTGATAGAACAGAAAAAAACATTAAGAACCATTATCAATTTTTTTTTTAATGCTCATGGACCATAATAATCATCTTAATGTCAATATTCATTCATGGTGTATGCCTGTGTATTAACAAAAAAGCTTTTCATGTAATTATTAATTTTAGAATGAGTTGGTCTGGGGAGGAGGAGGAGGGGGTGCTGTCAAATAAATACTAAATTTTTAAAAAATAGTATTTTTAATTGTTTTGCCGACGTTTCGACCCACTTTGCAGGTCTATATCAGAGCTTCAAAAGAAACAAAATATAAAAGGTACATGGTGAAAATAAAATAAATGAATTATAAGTAGATATTACATAAGAAACAGTTGTCTAACAAAGAAATAAGATGACATCAGAGATATAGTGGGTGACAGTGTAGTTGAAATATCAGGTATTATATATATAGAAGATACTAACAAAAATAGAAAATAAACACGTATACAAATATAAAACAAGGGAGAATATAGTGTGTAAATTAAAAGTAAATAGATTGTGATAAAAGATAAGTAATGAGTGTATAACAAACTGGTAAAGATTATATTTGATAACTGTACAAAGAAACTGAGGTTAACAGATAAAGAAAATGAGTGTTGACGAATAAAGAAATTGAAAAATGAATAAGTAATGATCTAGTAAAACTAAAATAAGATTAAGGTAACATAATATTAAGATGTCTGTGGATAACAAGCTAGTGGAAGTTTCACTTGATAAATGTAGGTAAACATAACGAGACTAAAGGTTAACAAATAAAGAAATAAAAAAATTAATGAGATAACATGAGTTATAATATCGTTGGTATAGAGTTATTAAATATATATAGACAACTTTAAAACTTTTAGAAGAGAAATTTAGAATGCAAGTATAAATGTAAACAAGGTTATGACGATGAAAAAAAAAATGTATAGTATATATAAATGACAACTGACATTCAGTTTTATTGAAAGCGGTAATGGAATAGTAGGCTATATGAAGAGTATAATATGGTATATAGTTAAATGATAGGTGTGTTAAGAAAGAATCATAATAAAAGTCAAACATGCCGTGGTTTCAGGCACTGAAGGAAGCAGTTGAAACAGGTCTAGTACTATTACATAAATACATACTCACACATGTATGTATGTAGCCCTGATGAAGACCTGCAAGGTGGGTCGAAACAATTAAAAATACTATTTTTTATAAATTTAGTATTTATTTGACTGCACCCCTCCCCCGACCAATTCCTTCTCATATTATATCATGATCAACCATCTCTATATCATTAATTATAGTGAAAATATGAAAAAACTAGCAGTATTTTACAAACTACTATCAGGATAATGAAAGAGTATGACAAGATTTCTTTTCTTTTATTATACAAAATTAAGTGGTACTTCAAGAAATTAATCTTATTTTCGAATTAGTATATTATGTGTATATAATTTTTATTAAATGCATTTGATTGGACTATTTTGTTTTAATGTAGCTTTAGTTTCTGTTTTAATATTTATATTTTATCAATGCTTAAAACAACTAGGTTGAACAGTTTTTAATGTTAATTATATGGACAGAACAGCATTATGTTATTATTATTAACTGATAAGGTTTAGAAGTGAAATCATAGTACCTGATATACATTGCTTGATATCTGCACTAGCCAGTTTAAATGGTGTTACTGCCTTATCATTGCCTGTTAATACCGCTATGAATTGTTATTAAGGGGTCAGTCACTCTAACAGCTAGGTATGTGTTTTTTTAGTATATGCACTTCACTTAATTTCATTTTGTTACTACAATTTCAATGTTTTATTACTTTGTGTTTTACTCAGTAAATACTATTTTACTTTAGATTTTAACATTATAGGTAATTTATATGTCTATCAGTAGGTCGAGCATATATCATGTATATTAATTTTTTTGGTGTGACTACTTTATTTAATACTTGCTAAACATACGCTGTAAAATATGTTGTTATTATTTATTTTCTTCATTCAATTCTAATTAATAAAAAACATTTTTTACTTCTGCTTGCATAGTATATAATATTCAACATGCTTTTCAAAATTGTATTAATTATTTATCATTTTTAATCTATCAAAATTATAATATCTTTATAATCATGCACAAAAATAAAATTACAGCAAAACTGACTAATGTATGGACTTTGCAAAAAAATATAAAAGGTGTGAAATACAATATATATTTGAAAGTCGTTTAATAAATAAAATATTTATATTTTAATAGGAAGCATAGATTTTAGCTTACAAATATTTGCTTTCAGATTAAATAATACTAAGGAAAATCAAATTATGAAAATGAAAAAGCTATTAGAAACCTTTAGAATTTATAAAGTTGATAATTAAGAAAAATTTGCTAATATAATTATTTAAGAAGAATGAGGGGGGAGGGGGAGAAAGTGTAGTCAGGTTTCTCAAAATGTTATGTTACAGCAATTTCTTTAAGTAAGGTAGATTTTACAGCAATTTTTAGTTTTGTGTATTTATTTTTATGAATAGTTTTTACTTTTAATTTCACTTAGCTGTAGATTAAATATAGTGTGAGAAATTATTGCGATCGTGAAAAATTTAGTAATATGATGATTATAATTTGTATATATAGACATGCTTGAACAAAATAAATACCAACAACTAAAAATTAATAAATTGGCTAGTTTGGTCCATAAATCCCTGACAATTTTTGTGTGGATCAGTGGAGTCTTAAAGTTATTATAATTGTTGTGGTATTCCAAAAAAATTGTAAGAGTCCACAACCTTGACAAACATTTTGTCCAAAAAATTGTTATGGCTTTATTGCTATAAAATTATGAGTATGTAAGGGTTATTTAAGGTGTGGAAAATGAATATAAACTTTGTTTCTCCTAAAAAAATATATATTGAACTCAGTTTGGCAAAATAGGATTTTGTCTAAAATCTTAAACCTCCCCCCCCCAAAAAAAAAGAAAAAACTCCTTTTAAGCATAGCCAAATTGGACTGACCGACAGCAATGTCGAGATCAATATTTTTGTAAGAAGAAACAAAGTTGATATCTAAACCTCAAATAACCCTTAAATACTCATTTGTACAGCAATCTAACAATAGAAATATTTTGCACAAAATTGTTGTCTAGCTTGACCCTTCCAATTTTTTCGGAATATCACAAAAATTGTGATAAAAAGGTTCCACTGATCCACATGAAAAGTTTCAGGAATTTAGAGGCCTATTGACTACCCGAAATGGTGCAAACCTGAACTCAGTAAATAAATTAGAACTACAAAAATAAAATAAAATGTTTGAGAAATTTTTATTTATTTCTACCATACAAAAGAATAAAATATAAGTTGTTGATTTGGGTTAGAAAAGCTTTAATGGTTGTATTAATTTTGAATTTGGAGAAAATCCTGAGGAGTTATGAATGTTTTAATTGATGGCCAAAGATATAAACAATAATAATAATAGTCTATTAGGTAATTAATTTTATATTGAACTATTACATGCTGACGGTTACAATTGCTACTAGGTTGGTTGTTGGGCTATTTTTAATTGGTGAATTTTACTTGTGGTTTTGATTGGTTCTTCATATCCTTCTCCTCTCTTCCGAGTCCCCTAGTTGGAGAGTTTAGGATATCTACTCTATATATTCATAACTTTCAGTAGATAAAAAAACTTCAGTTTTCTAGTGCTGGCCCAGCTGGACTTGTCTTGAATCTGCCTCATGCCTGGTCTCACACTTGATATCAGGGGAGTTATTTTCACCTGTTTGTCTTGCTTGCCCAGAGATGGCAGTAGCGTCACTGGGCTTTTTTCATTTATTAATATATAATTGATAATTTATTATCTTCCCTAAACAGATATTGTAGCTCATTTAATATTATCGGCAATATTTTTTTCTTATTCTACACAGAAAAATCAATTAATTGGTATATAATAATCTAGAAATCTGGGTAAAGAAAAAGCAAAAAGAAAAAAAATATTTTTTAAAAATAAAATACAATTTGTTTTTCTCAACGCCTAAGGTCCAGTAGAATAAACACTGGGGCATGTGTCTAATGGTTTTTGATGTAGAATCATCAACCTTGTCAGTGCCCCATAAGCTGATATCCTATTGGTCGAGAGTGTTGGAACGTTGCCTGTTGTAGCATTCTTGTGCCTAGCGATGCCGATTCGAATCCGTCCTGGGAAGTGTTGACTTTTATTTCATAACGGACTCACAGAATGAAACTCCACCTTCTCACTCTTGTTAGAATAGGTTTGGTTGCACCTCTAGAACAGCACCCCCGTATGCCAGAAATGATGGATATAGGGTAATCCAATACAATAAAAAAAAGTGACCTATAAGTTGTCCTTTACTCTCAGGCTGCCCAACTAATTGTGGTACAATTATAGTAGCAACTTACATTTTTTTTTTTTCAGACAACCTTATTTGTTCCCTAATTTTTCATTTGTTATTTTTTTTATTATTGTAAAAAACTATTGAATGAATTATGTGTGTATAATCATCTACGTCTTTAATTAATGGAAAATGTGTCATAATGGATTCTGGTATATTCACTGGATACATAAATTTACTTATAAATTATTTTTCTAGGGTCCAGATATTCAAACTACAAGTATTAAATGGAGTCGACCTCCTCCTCCTGTTTTGGATTCAAGCAGGGATGGTCTAATCTTTCAGCAATTAGAAATAGATCATTATGCTGGTAAGTTTTTTGCTTTGATGCTCTATTTAGGAGTTATAGGTGAAAAAATGAAAGGAAAAAAAAAAAACTGTCTGTTTTGGCTGTAAAACATTTTCCCTTAGTGGCCCAAGATTGAAATTTTGATTTTAAAATGTTTCAACCCTTATATATAAATTAAAAAAATAAAAACACATTTTTCGCAATAAATTTCTCATTTTGACCCATGAGTTACTGGCCTAATATTCTTTAAATCAGCTAACACTTTTTCAGGTAGCATTATATGACTGGCAGCCTCATTTTTTTAAATATAAATTTTATGAATATTCTATAAAATGTTTTCAAAATTTGCTTAAACAATGTCAATTTTTTTGCATGGGTATGAAGTATAATCTCAGGTTAGATGACCCATTGGCTACACTTCCCTTTGATATCATTATTATGTATTATGCATGCAAATTTGGAAATAAGGCGGACTGTATTTGATAAAAGTTGTCAGTTACTACGATATGCTGTTGATTTCACCATCGTTGGAAGATCCCTCCAAAACATCAAAAATTCATTTGATAGATTCCAGAAGAGAGTCAGACATTTGATCTTCAAGTAAATGTCAAGTAGACAAAAATAATGGTAATGAGGAGAAAAAATTTGAGGCATCCCCAGAACAGGTACTTAGTTAACAACAGCTTCTTTGAAAATGTCTCAAGTTTTGAGTACCTTAGGAGCCGAATAAATGTGGCATTGGATGAGGAGGAGGAGATCAAACCTCGTATTGTCGCTACCAATAAATCATCATACTCGATCATGCGTCTCATAAAGAGTCGATTGATCAGTCACATAACAAAGATAACACTATACAGAACGTTAATGAGACCCATTGCGACCTACGCATGTGATGAGTAAATGGTACAGCAGCAAAGAAATGGACTTGTTCAAGTGGAAATTATTAAGACGTGTGCTGTGATGAATCAAAGAGAATGGAGAGTGGTGTCATAAAAAAATATAAAATATACAATATCTATTGAGATCTAAGAGTCTCAGAATTCATAAAATTACAATGGTTGAGATGGTTGGGGCATCAATTAAGAAGACCGCGGGGAAGAAGGAGGAACAGTGAACTGCAGACCTGAATGCGTTCTGGTCTTTCACTGTCACTTGGGGACAGAGAAGCCTGAGCAACAGTGTTGAAGCAGGCCAAAAACTGCCTAGAGCATCTGTCGTGCCTTTGAAGAAAAATAATCAAATGAGAAACAGTTCTCAAGCTACTGGAAAAGTCCAGTATTTGTCGAATTCACAAATAAGGAAGTGTTTACAGTGTAATAATTACAGAGATTCAAACATTATGCCAAGGACTGCCTAGTGCATCTGTCGTGCCTTTGAAGAAGAATAATCAAATGAGAAACAGTTCTCAAGCTACTGGAAAAGTCCAGTATTTGTCCAATTCACAAATAAGGGAGTGTTTAACTGTGTAATAATTACAGAGATTCAAACATTATGCCAAGGACTGCCTAGTGCATCTGTCGTGCCTTTGAAGAAGAATAATCAAATGAGAAACAGTTCTCAAGCTACTGGAAAAGTCCAGTATTTGTCGAATTCACAAATAAGGGAGTGTTTACAGTGTAATAATTACAGAGATTCAAACATTATGCCAAGGACTGCCTAGTGCATCTGTCGTGCCTTTGAAGAAGAATAATCAAATGAGAAACAGTTCTCAAGCTACTGGAAAAGTCCAGTATTTGTCCAATTCACAAATAAGGAAGTGTTTAACAGTGTTATAATTACAGAGATTCAAACATTATGCCCACTCCCTATAAGATCCTCTCAGGAACTCTTTATAAAATAATAATACCATGTGCTGAGGAAGAAATTGGAAAATATCAATAAAATAAAAATGAAGCTCTTTACGGAAGCAGGTGAGTTAGAAGACTATGCTTGCACTAGCAAGACAGTGACTTCCACTGCACTAAATTGCTTGGCGTCAGAAATTGGAAGGCAACAGCAAAATCATCATAGACATAGCACAATTGAAATGTCATTGAAACAATGATACAAATAAATCTTAAATGATTAGTATGTTGTGTCACTTAATAATAATAGTAGTAGTTTAAGTTTAATCCATTATATTTATAATATAATATAAGTATCTTATATAATATTTGTTTAACAATCTAATAAAGTTATATCGTAGTAATGATATAATTTATTCATTTAATATTGATTCAGTATAATTAATTTTGATATTTATAATTTTATTACAATTTAGTTCTAATTTATTGATTATTGTTACTAACTTAAAGGTACAGCAATAAAAGGTATGCCTGGAAGTCAAGTTTCTCCTGTTCCCATCATAAGGATGTATGGTGTGACTATGGATGGGAATTCTGTCTGTTGCCATGTTCATGGTTTTACTCCTTATTTCTATATACTTGCTCCAGAAGGATTCTCTGAAAGAAGTTTATCAGAATTCAAAGTAAATTTGGTTTTATAAATTTTTCGTTTATGATTGAAGTATTGATATAAAATGTTAGCATTAAACTTACAATGTTAGCATTGTTCTCTCAAGAATTTTTCTGATAGCAGTATTAACTGTTAGTTTAATTTCTAATAGGTGTATAGTAATCATTATTTTTTTTCTTAGGAAAAACTAAATAAAGTTATGTTAGAAGATTTGAAGTCAAATCCAGAAAAAGTGGAAGAAGCAGTAGTTATGGTAGAAATGGTTAAGAAGCAGAGTATATTTGGTTACTTTGGTGATAATCTGCTCAATTTTATTAAGATATATGTGGCTATACCTAAACTAATTGCAACTGCAAAAAGACTCATCGAAAAAAATGTTTTACCTTATTTTTCTGGAGATGCTACCCAAGCATTTGAAGCCAATATTGATTTTGACATTAGGTTTGTTTTATTTATGACTTAAATAGTTATATTATTCTGTTTTTATGAGTTTCTTTAATCTATACAATCTGCTTGACATTTATCTGTGAGTGTGTTAATTAATTTCATCATTCAATTATTTAAGGAATTTATAATATTTATAGTAGGCCAATAAAAGATAAGCAAGGATAGATCTTGATCATAGTGGAGAGATAAATGTGAGGATAGAAAGAACATTTTAAGCAGTTTAATGTATATATTTATGTAAGGAACCTTCATAATTATTCCCTTCCACCAATCTGTATGAATCTCTTTGTCCCGTATATTGTGTGTACTGTGTAATAGTCTGTGGGCCAGACCCCCTTACCGTGCACCCCCCTCCTCCCCCCACCCATCCCTATAAATTACATATCGTTGTGTTCCTTGTAACAATTTATTAAAAAAAAAACAATGTTCCAACAAAAAAAAAGTGAACGCACTGCCCCAAAGATGGCGGATTGACGACTTTGACTTAGTATTTTGGTCATTGAGAATCAGCATTTGGCTTAATTTCCTCATAGTTGGTCTTTTATTAAAGCTGAATAGTCATAGAATAATAAAACATGAAGAAATATTAAAAAATAATTGGCTTAGGCTATGAAAAACACCAGTAAAGTCAATTTTTTTAACAAACAAATTTTCAAGTTACAAATCAAGCGTTTTTATGTAATTAAATGGCCTACAATAACGTAAAACGTGCTGAAATAAAACATCTGGAGCATATATTTCTCTTTCTAAAACGTTGATTATTTTTTTAAAAAATTTTAAGCAGTTCCGTAGAAAATGCACTTATGCAGCAGAAAAGCGGTATTGGCGTGGGTGCCTACAGACCTCTACCACACCATTCAGTACACATTAATGGCTTAGTTATAGTGATATAATAACATTTTTGGTACATTACATTGGTTATTAACGAACAAGGGGGCGGGGTGGCCGAATAGGCTAAAGCGTGTGTAACAGCACCGCTAGTTGCCTGGCAACCGGATAACAGAGATTTGAGATGCTATAAAAAGTACGAGTTCGCGTCCCGGTGCCGGAGGGGATTTTAAATTCCCCGCCCTCACCCCCCGGCCCGTGAAAATCCCGTATAGCCTAAAAGGCGAGGTAGGGAAGAACAAAAAAAAAAAAAAAAAAAGTTATTAACGAACAAATATTTATGCAATAATTAAATTGTAAAAAAAAAAATTAAAATTTTTAAAAAATGTATTATTATTTTTTTTAATTTAACCTCCTTTATTCTATATGTAGGTCATTTAAGAAGACCTCAATTGTAATCAATTAAAAAATACTTTGCTAAATATCTTGATTTTTTTTCTATTTAACGTTTGCAATTTAATACTGTGTTTTGTATATTTACTGATTCTTAGAGGTAATTAAAATTTGTATATACTTCTCAGGAAATGAGTCATATTAATACCTGTTTTGTAAACTAAAATAATATATACCTAATCTGAACTATATATAATTAATAGCTACCGGGTTGTTTAGTAAAACTCATATATCACTAATTCAAAAATTAATTTTTATTTTGTGCAGAAGTTGGACTATATCATAAATAAATAGGAAATTTTAATATTGAATGAATTATTCTCTATGCACTAAGAAAGATAGAAAGAGTGACGCTATAAGTTCTTCTATAAACCAGAACTGATTGTTTGGATTTGGTCTCAAAATCAGGAAAAACGTGAAATTGAACCCGAAAATTGGAAAAATACATTAAGCTAACAAGAAAGGAAGTGCCAAAACCTCGGAAAAGATAAAAAGGACCAGTATCCATCATATAGCTAAATGAATGTATACTAGACAGATGAACAGAATAATTCAAGATGTTGCTAAAAGGGGGTCAATTGCAATTTGGATGATATTAAGTTTACGATGTAGGTTTATTATGGTGAAAACTACTTTATTTTCGAATGCTGAAGGTGCACATCAGGACTATCTTCATTTTGAAGCAGGATATAGAGAGGTATATCGAGAAAATTATAGCTCATAGCTCTCCTTCTGTTTAGTGCATTTGCAAAAGATTTTTTAAGGAATCTTATATTAGTTATAGCTCGTTATTGTTCAGAAATTGTGGAATAAATTGTTCGGAATTTGTACCATATCATAAAAAAATAGAAAATTTTAATATTGAAAGCAAACTGCAATTGACCCCCTTTTAGCAACATCTTGAATTATTCTGTTCATCTGTCTAGTATACATTCATTTAGCTATATGATGGATACTGGTCCTTTTTATCTTTTCCGAGGTTTTGGCACTTCCTTTCTTGTTAGCTTAATGTATTTTTCCAATTTTCGGGTTCAATTTCACGTTTTTTCCTGGTTTTGAGACCAAATCCAAACAATCATTTCTGGTTTATAGAAGAACTTATAGCGTCACTCTTTCTATCTTTCTTAGTGCATAGAGAATAATTCATTCAATATTAAAATTTCCTATTTATTTATGATATAGTCCAACTTCTGCACAAAATAAAAATTAATTTTTGAATTAGTGATATATGAGTTTTACTAAACAACCCGGTAGCTATTAATTATATATAGTTCAGATTAGGTATATATTATTTTAGTTTACAAAACAGATATTAATATGACTCATTTCCTGGGAAGTATATACAAATTTTAATTACCTCTAAGAATCAGTAAATATACAAAACACAGTATTAAATTGCAATCGTTAAATAGAAAAAAAATCAAGATATTTAGCAAAGTATTTTTTAATTGATTACAATTGAGGTCTTCTTAAACGACCTACGTATAGAATAAAGGAGGTTAAATTAAAAAAAATAATAATACATTTTTAAAAAATTTTAATTTTTTTTTTTACAATTTAATTATTGCATAAATATTTGTTCGTTAATAACCAATGTAATGTACCAAAAATGTTATTATATCACTATAACTAAGCCATTAATGTGTACTGAGTGGTGTGGTAGAGGTCTGTAGGCACCCATGCCAATACCGCTTTTCTGCCGCATAAGTGCATTTTCTACGGAACTGCTTAAAATTTTTTAAAAAAATAATCAATGTTTTAGAAAGAGAAATATATGCTCCAGATGTATTATTTCAGCACGTTTTACGTTATTGTAGGCTGTTTAATTACAAACAACGCTTGATTTGTAACTTGAAAATTTGTTTGTTAAAAAAATTGACTTTACTGGTGTTTTTCATAGCCTAAGCCAATTATTTTTTAATATTTCTTCATGTTTTATTAGTCTATGACTATTCAGCTTTAATAAAAGACCAACTGTGAGGAAATTAAGCCAAATGCTGATTCTCAATGACCAAAATACTAAGTCAAAGTCGTCAATCCGCCATCTTTGGGGCAGTGTGTTCACTTTTTTTTGTGGGAACATTGGTTTTTTTTTAATAAATTGTTACAAGGAACACAACGATATGCAATTTATAGGGATGTGGGGGGAGGGGGTGCACGGTAAGGGGGTCTGGCCCACCGTGTATAATGTAAATTGTGCAAGAACTACGTGGTGTTCACTTCCAATATCTACTCCTGTTTTATTCCTCACATCTATTAGAAAGAGTCTAAAGCTGGATTACAAGGATATGGTCCATTTGGTACTAGCTTATACATCAGGATAATCGCAAGTTTTGTTGTGGCAAACTTTATGTGGGAAAATTGTACCAGAAATGATAAGATCATGGTCTACATAGAAGCTTGCAAACCTTTTTAATTTTGCCAAGTTTATGTTTTCCAATAATATGTTTTAAACTGTCAGTTTTGCTTCTCATCCAAGCGTTCATTTCACCCATCACGATTTTTATGTTCTGTTACATAATTCTTCCTATTTCTTTGTTTAGTTGGGGATAAAATAATTTTCTATTTATTTTTGTAAAATCGTTTGGTAGTTAACAATGATATATGGTAACATTTCTTATCTTTGTGTTAAAAATGTTCATGCTTTCTGTTAGTTTTTATTACATGAGACTTATTTTATCATTTTCAGCCAAAAATAATCCTACCTCATTTCTATGCTCTGCTCATTTCATTTATTTATTTATTTTTCCAGTTTCTATAACTAGATTTTTTAGACTGTTGCAAGTAATTAGCTTACTTCAGTCGATTCAAGTTGTTGGGCTCTCACCTCAGAGATACATGACCAGCTTCTCCCCTTGGCACCTAGGAAAGACGTCACTAGGATGTATACTGTAGATGAACTTGACTTAATCAATTATTTAGCTATAACTAATATATTAACACTTTTTTCCACTTTTTACATTCACTTACCTACATATTTAATATATAGTAAGATAAAGTATTACGATCATGAACATTTTTGAATCCAAGTTTTTAATAAAAATACACAATACAATATTTCGTGGCACTTAATTATTTATGATAATCAAATAACTAATTCAAATCTACAGTTGTGAAAAGAAATTGTTTCTGACAAACAAAAAAAAATACATTTGGCTATGACAACGGATCTTGGATAGTACTTTTGGGCTAGTGTTAGATAAATTATTTTATGAGAAGGAGTTAGTCGAGGGTGCGGTCAAATAAATAATAAATTAAAATATATTAATTATTTTAATTTTTGCCGACGTTTCGACCCACTTTGCAGGTCGTCTTCAGGGCGTAGGATGTAGCACTGCGGGAGGCAGTTGAAACACTGACCAAATCATTATCATCATCTCTACATCATTATGAATAAAATATTTTATTTATATTTTCTACCATCTTTTTATTTTATTGTTGTAGGTTTATGGCTGATTGCAAAATTACAGGCTGTAATTGGATTGAATTACTTCCAGGATCCTATACTTTGAGGACTGCTTCAGGTTTTTGTTCAACCCGTTGCCAAATTGAAGTTGATGTTCCTTATAATAAACTAATCTCACATCAGCCTGAAGGAGAATGGTCTAAAGTAGCTCCTTTTCGGATACTCAGCTTTGATTTAGAATGTGCTGGAAGAAAAGGTGTAGTTGAAAAAAAAAATCACATTTTAATCAGTTGGTTTGTTGAAATGTTGGTTTTATGAAAAGAAATAAAGTATAGTAATTATTCTATTAAAGAAAAGTTCCTCCATTTCTGCCACTACTGATACTGGTTGAGGGAACTTGGGAACTAGTGGAGAAACTTGTGAACTTTTTTTCCAACCCCTGATAGCTACTAAGAGATTGCTGCCAATTACATACTAACCAGAGTGGGAGTGTTAAGATTAATTAATTTCGGTCTCTGGAAAATAAATATTTACCTAAATGGTAAGTAATCTCACAAAATTCCAAACCTGGAACTCAGGGACGATCAACAGTCATATGTCCATTGTGTTTTGATCCCTACTACTAAGTAAGATAACAGTATATTCTTCACCGCCTTTCAAAATTATTGTCAATTTTTCATAAATTTGTTTAACATCTTTTTTAGACTTGGAGTCTCGGCCAAAAAGGGTATTTAGATAAATGTTACTATCAATTTTATAGATTTTATTAACTGTTTTCACACATATAAACTTCACTATTTTTACAAAAAATTATATTGGAATATTCGCTAAATAAATACTAAGGCAATAAACAAACCTTAACTGAAATTTGACTTCTGTTATTTTACAGCTTAAATAAAATACTTTCGCTAGGACATGGCTCGACATACAATGAGTTACATTCTGAATAACAAAAATAAAATTAGTACGGAAACAACTTTAGATAAATAAAAAATGTTCTATTCTTTTAAAACTTTAGGAAGATCAAAAGAATAGGTCTTAATAACGAATGCTGAAAAGTTTGTAGAAAAAAAACACATACAAATCTTAATGGAAACCTAGTATTTTTTTTTTAATATGGTATAAATCATAAGTTTGGTGAGATATTAAGTATGATTTTTTTTTTATGTATTTAATGAACTATATCTTATAATAAGCAATTGTTTCTGTGTTGAAATACAGACAACTATAACATTGTAATTTAAATTGGAATAAAAAGTGAGTGAATGAATGACAAGTGTACAAATATCAGATAGCTTTCATATTTTTCAACTAACTGTTTATACAAACAATTTAATGATTCTGCAAGGTAGAAATAGACAAATTAAAAAAAAAAGATAAATATTTAAATTTCTTACCTGTTTGATAAGGTACTAGGAATGTCAAAATTAGAAAAATTGACCTTATTACGATACTTCCTTTATCCCTATCTAGCAGTAAGAAAGTAAAAATATGTGCCAGATTCACAAATGTCTTTTTGATTTTTCTATCTGTTTGAGTTACATATTTTAAGATGTTATTTTGCAGTTTATCTGCAGTGCATATTATATTACGTTATTTAGAAGTTTTATGACCTCATGAATCTGGGCATTTATATCACTTCAACTTATTTGTTCAGTCATTTCACTGAAAGTTAAGCGGAGACATTTACCTTATAAATATCTATTAACCTCTTTGTACATTTAATCTTTCTGCTTTTTTATAACCAAACTTGGACAATAATTCTAACACATGTTTAATCCTGTTACATTAATTTGTAATGTTGTCCTTTTTATTTCTGTGTGTTTTAAGTGTTTGAGTAAAGTAGTTAAAAAGGATTAGTTTTTTGTTTAACTACAAAAGTTTTGTTTCATAAGCATTCTTAATATGTCACAGTTAATAAGCTTAAAGATGTATTACTTGTACTCTTATTAATAAATTATTAAGTAATTAACATTTTGAGAAATTATGCACTGTCTTTAGCTGATTTACATACAAAAAAAAAATGTTAACAATTTTTTTATGAATGTTTAGGGATTTTTCCGGAACCAAATCATGATCCTGTTATTCAGATTGCCAATATGGTTGTTCGTCAAGGAGAGCATGAGCCCTTCATTAGGAATATTTTTACCTTGAAATCATGTGCCCCTATTTTGGGATCACAGGTTATTAGTTTTGAAAAAGAGGAAGATATGCTTGAAGTAATACATTTCTTGAAACATGAAATAAGTTATTAAAAATAATGATCATATTTAGTAATTTATTTTTATTTTCATGTGGATTGCAGAAATGGGCAGAATTTGTAAGAGAAGTAGATCCCGATTTATTTACTGGATATAATATCAATAATTTTGATTTTCCTTATTTAATTAATAGAGCTAATCATCTGAAATGTAGAAACTTTGTTTTTCTGGGAAGAATTAAAAACATAAAGTATGCATTTCTGTTCTACTGAATAAATATTTAATATATCTATCAATGTTTGATGTTCTTTCTGTTCATTTGAATTTTGTTTTTTATAGGTCCATTATCAAGGATCATGTAATTCAAAGTAAACAGATGGGCAGAAGGGAAAATAAATCCATTAATTTTGAGGGTCGAACCTGCTTTGATCTATTATTGGTACATTTACTTCAAACAATTTATAATCAAGTATCCTATTTTGTTGGTAAAAGAGTGATGTTTTATTGGATTTTTTGTTTTATCTCTCTTTATTATGTGACAAGTTTTTTATTATTTCTCTTAATTTCTGTAAATTAAATAAGTGTTATTTTTAGAGATACAAATCTTAAATATTGACAATTAAATTAGAAAAAGTATATTTATTATATATAATTATAATTTTCAAGATATAATTTATACATTATTTATAGATATTTGGGTATTCACTATTACATTGGAATTTATGTTAAGTTAAGAAAAGGAAAAATGAAATGAAGTATATAAGGAGAGAGGGAGAGAGAACTATTCTCTGTTTCGATCTCTTATTTCTCCTTTAATTATTTATCAAATTCTTTCATATTTTATATTTAACCATTTTTCATATTAGAAATTAATGTTTAATGGTCAATTGTTTCAAACAAAAAATATTAAAGGTACTTTAGAGGATGCTAAGATTTAAAATTAGCCATTTAAGCTCTGTTAGAGAACATAAATCATAATAATAACCACATTTTATTTAAAACTGCTTAATTTTACCCTGATTTGATGAATTTAATCAAAATCATTAGAGCGGTTTTTGAGATAATCGTAAAAATATGTTTAGTCCACTATATAAAGTGCCACTTCCGGTTAGCCGATTTTGACGAAAAAGTTGTAACATCCCTAGCATATAAAAACTGTAAATATGCAATTTCACTCCTGTACAACTTTTTGTTTTTGAACTAGATTGTTAACACACAGACCATTTTGTGGGAGTTGGTTATTTGGACTCAGGGGACCGCAAAACGTGTATTTCCGTTGAAAACTCAAATTGAAAAATTTTCATGATCGCAATACTTACCCTTACTATATATTATATATATAGGTAAGTAAAAGTAAGCCACTACAGCCTGCTTACTTCCTAGGGTCTCTCTCTGATTTCTTTGTAGCATTCTCTGCACTGCTTTCAATGCCTTCTTCTCTCACCTCAAGGCTTAATAAAATATAGACGTGACGCACCAGACGTGGTGAGGGTGGTCGGTTTATAATTGTCCAAACTTCCTGATCCGTAGGTGGCTACGCTTTCTACAAAGAAATGGTAGATCTTCTTTTTAGTTTTCAATCTTATTTTCTTACTCCATAGTGTTGAATTTATCGAACTTATTATTCTTTTCCCATTGTTTATTTTATGTTCGATGTCAACCTCACTAGGTAGTGAGGTCCTTTGAAGGGAGTCAGTATCTGAGGTACTTAAACTGTTGGCTGGCAATGAGTGTCCAGTCATCAATTTCAAGGGGCAAATTTGGGGCGTTGGAAACCATGCACTCTGTTTTACTTTTAATGATTTTCAGACTCCATCTGGAATACATTTCTATCAACTTCCTCATCATATAGCTCACATAGTCCGGATCCGATGCGGTTATGACTTGATTATCGCCATACTGCAAATTGTAGATGACATCATCTCCAACTTGAACACACATTCCACGGCATGATCTTTTCCAATCTTTAAGGTCTTATTCTATATAAATGTTGAAAATCAGGGGTGAAAGGCAGCAGCTCTGTTTAAATCCTTTGTTAATGGGGAAGCTAGACACCTATCTCCTATTTTTATAGAGTCCTTGAATTGCTTTGATGAGATGAGGTATCTCTTAATAGATGTGGCTTCCAAAATATCATGTGGAGTTCACGGTCATGGGCCATCTTCTTTTCTATAATAAAGAAAGACTAAAAATGTGATCAGTGCATGATTTTCCAGCTCGAAAATCTCCCTGTTCCTTGCTGATTTCTTTTAATTATCCAACCATATAATCTACTCAATAAGCTGGTAACCGTTATACCTCTGAAATTGGAAACATCTTGCTTTTAGCCCTTTTTTGAATACTGGGGTGATATAACCCTTCTTCCATTCTTTAGGGATCTCTCCACCATTTAACAGAAGTGTCATAATCTCTGCCAGTGCCATTTTGAGTTCGGTCGGGCCTGTTTTAATTAATTCTATTGTATTGGAATAGAACTGGGGCTGGGAGATTTTCTATTTTACATTCCTTTGAGAGCTGAATCCAGTTTTATAACTGTTACTGGCGGTATATCTTCCTTATTTGATATTATTTTATTCAGGTGGCTCTTCATGAAATTCTTCAAAGTAATTCACCCATTGCTGCTCTTTGATCAATGGGAAGTTACCTCCGCATCTTTTGTGATTTTTCAATTTTTTTAATACCTCTAAGCAGCTCTGGACTTTTGCCCATCAATGTAAGTGTCCATATACTTCCAGGTTTTCTCCCAATAGATATTTAATGCCTTCCTTCTAATAGCTTTTACTTTTTTACACGCATTTCTGTATTCTCTCAGGTCCTTCCCATTTTTAGAGCTCAACCATTTACTGTATAAACATTTTTTATACAAACTTCTAAAGCTGCGGCATGTAGACACTTCACTATATTCTCATAATATAGTCGATCATTCAAACTTTTCTCATAATTCAATTTCTCCATCAGTCGGCTTTGGAACAGTCCTTTTACTGATTCTTGATTTTTCATACTCTTAATTGAGTATTGAATTGTTTTCTGAAAATCTGAATTTCCTCTGGTCACTGGAGAGTATCTAAGGAGATTATGAGGTTTAAAATTCAGTATGCTCTTTAATAGAAAGTGATCCGAACCACATTCCGGCCCCCTCAAACGGAAGGTTTTTCGTTATAAAAAAAAAATGTTCCGTTTAAGACTTTGCCGATCAGATCCGTCCGATTTTCTTTCTGTTTTGGGTTTGAAAGCAAAATATTTTTTTCGATGAAGGGATGCTGGCCCTATGATCAACCTTTTTTTTAACTGCAAGGACAGTGGTTTGATTTTGCGTTTGCCTTCCCCTAGACAGGTTGCCTTCACTATGGCTATAATTCCTGTCCACCCATATATAAAATATATAATAAAAATATTCATCAATCAAAACTGAAAATAAATAAATAATCTCCCTTTTTAATGTTTACACTATTTATTATATTGAATAAAATGATACAAATGTTATAGAAATTAATATATAGAAATAGGAGTAATAAGATAATAAGGTACTAGTTCCGAAGCACTACTCTTTCAGCTATCTTGGTTGATGACAGGTTATCCACAATGTTTCAGATAATTTTTTCAACAGAAAGCACCAGTATTGCACTAGTCTTGTCCCCTCCACCTCACCTTCATTTTAAGTAAATATCAAAATTATATCGTTTAGGTTACATTTTTTCCCCACTATTTTCACTTCGTAGGAAATAAATATATATATATTTTTTTTTTATATTTGTTGGCTTTAAGCACGTCGACCCCTACTGGGACCATTGTGCGCCAATTTCAGTAAGTCGTTTTGTTTAAAACGTTAGTCCTGTCGCTTCCGCGTATCTAAGTAGGCTGGTTGGATTGACCGACTCATATCTTCTGGGGAGATCCATCTGTTCCTCCCCAAATACCACTAGTCTCAGCCTTATAAACCTGTCACATCTGCATATGATGTGAAAAGCTGTTTCATTCTCCTCCTGACAGAATCTGCATAGCGGATTCGTCGTTACTCGGAGATTGAACATATGATTATTTAACTTACAGTGACCTGTATAGATCGCTGTAAGTTTTTTAAGAGCTGCTCTGTCCATGTTCAGTAGCTATTTACTTCTTTTTTTACATGGGCCTTCAAGGAACAGCTTCGAATGTCTCTGTTTCTTGTCGGTCCAGCAATTGCTAAATTTGTTCCCATAGATCTCCCTGATCCAGCCCTTGGCAGTGCTGAGGCTGATTCCACAGACAGGCTCGGGAGTTATAGGAATGGTATCTGAGCCCAACCTGGCTAGCTCATCAGCCATCTCGTTGCCTGGTATGCCAGAGTGACCTGGCACCCACTCCACTGCAACTCTGTTGTGCTCAGTTAGCTCATTAAGTGCACTATTGCATTCCTTAACGACCTTTGAATAAACATAATAGTTGTCGAGAGCACCTATTGCTGCCTGACTGTCAGTATAGATGATAATATTTTTCTCAGTCACATTGGTTTGCAGTAGGTTTTGTACACAGTGGCAGATTGCCAGTATCTCGGATTGAAACACTGAAGCATACCTGCCAAGTGGTATAGACATTTTTTCTTTTATATCTTTGCGATAGATGCCTGCTCCAGAGCCGAAGGCTGTTAGAGAGCCATCTGTATAGCAATTTATTCCACTATTTGGTTTATTCTGCTGCTATCTATCTCAACCTTATATTTTCGGTCCTGATATTCTCGGATTAGAGTGTCAGAGTGCATAGCTAGTACTCCTTCACGTCCAATCCTGTTCAGCAGTATTGTGTGTCCTCCCTGACAGGGGACTGTTGAACAGTAAGTTGACTTGCTTATCCTGTACAATGTATTTGTTGCCCGAGCCTCCACCTCCAACTGCAGCGGAGGCATGCCCAGCATCACCTCCATAGCAGCCGTCTGTGTCGTGCTCATTGCGCCTGTTATCATTATACAAGCAAGCCTTTGAGTCTTTCCTAATAAGGATAAGTTGGCCACAGTCTTTGCTTTGTGCCACCATAGCAAAGCTGAGTAAAGTATGATAGGTCTGACTGTCGTTGTGTACAGCCAGTATACCATTTTTGGTTTTAGTCCCCAATTCTTTCCTATCGCTCTTTTACAGGCCCATAGGCATTTGAGGGCTTTACTTGTCACGTTTTGAACGTGTTTAGTCCATGTCAGTTTATGGTCCAAAGTGACTCCCAAGGTGTTTTACTTCCTTACTCAATGTCACTTTGATACCATTGATTTCCGGCATTTTTATAGCCACCTCCTTCTTCTTAGTGAAGATACACACATTGATTTTCCTAGGGTTGATGCTTAGTCCTTTAATCCTGCACCAATTCCTAAGAATATTAAACACTGTACTGAGGATACCAGAGAGGACACTCTGATGCCTCCCTCCTATGAGGATGGCAATATCGTCAGTATATCCCTGAGCATAAATGCCT